TATACATTAATAAAACTAGGAGAACCTTGGCTATATCTGTATATAGAAAAAGGAATACATAAAAGGTTTAAGCAGAAAAGCCTGGACCAAGAGATTAAAATCAGCATACATGGCAGAAGGTCAGGAAAGCCCCGCTTYAGCCTTATGCACTTCAGGAATAATTTAATTTAAATTCTGACACATGAAAACACTAACACACAATTAAGCATCAAAAAGTCCTARTTTAAGGCAAGCAGGAACCCCAAACATGATGTAGGTTCTTTTGTGCCTGATACTGACTGAAACACTCTGTGAAGAGAACAGACCTGCACAGCTGGAACATTCCTTTTCCTTCCTCATTTTCCCCAAATACTCTTTGAAGAAAAAAGCCAATTAAACTATCAGTCAAAGACTCAAAAATGTGCCACAGGGTTGGGAGAACAACAGAGATCCCATTAGAAAGGCATCAATCTGAGCTCCACAAAGTGGTTGGACAAGATTCTTGCATCTTAGAGAAAGCAGCACTTCAAGATGCCCCGATTTCCTGCAGCTCTCATTCTCTGCTAGGGAACATCCCAAGAGAAAGCCCTTAAAAAATCAAAACTAAGCTGCAGCAGTTTGGGTAAGCAGGAATTAGTATGAAACTAAACGCACTCAAAACAGCAAATCTACAGCACAAACCTTGTTGCCAAGAGGGAGACAGTTTATGGGAGGATCAGGGAGATGTAATAAAATCAACTGTAGGAYCAAAGTTGCATAGCTGTTTCATAAGCTAAAACATACATAAATAGTGTAATTATATAATTATTTTATCATACAGGTTATCCTTAAGTTAAACCTAAAGATTAAATACTAGCAAGTGTTAAGATGACCTTCTATGTTCACCCACTGAAGAAAATTTCACACAAAATTCCAATTTCACACAAAATTTGCCCTGAGAGAATTGTGGGGAAGAAACGCATAGTAGTATTCTCAGAAAAATCCAGGCTCCAGCTGGAGCTTCTGAGTTGCCTGTAATCTTCACCTCTTCCAGATAGGAATTAAAATGCAAAATGGCTCCATACCCTCTACGGCCCACACCTCAACACAAGGTACAGCCCTGCAGGCCCTTCCATCCCTCCCTCTGCCTCCTCCCCTACTCTTGATCTTGAGGGCCCTTTGTGAAGKGGGTCCTGAACCCACAGCACAACCACTACCCCTCAGCCACCATTAACAATGAACTCTCTCATGCCTTAGCATGCTAAAATAATCATAAGAGCACACACACCACCCGCTCCTATGATGTATTCTGTCTACAGAAAAACTTGACTGGCCGCAGGGCAACCAGTGAACTGACCTGACAAAACGTTACCAGGTACCCTTTACGGCAGCAGCGTCTCTTCTGATTTAGTCTGGGCAGCTTCGTAATATTTTCCTCTGCGAATCCTAAGCTTTCCTAGTTACTTAAAATGAGTTAAAAGCCAAATYTCCCTGGTTGCCACCAGGTTGGAACGACAGCCCCTTGGAGATCTACCATGGTGGTGTACAAAACTGTGCCAAGACCCAGGGCAAAATGATTGCCAGGAATTGCATCCGTCTTCACACTAGACCTAGCTGCACAGCAAACATTTAAGTGTGAAAATTCTCCACCTAAAGCAAACTTAACCCCTTGGCCACGGTATGTTTGCCAAGGGCAGACTGCCAAGTGACTCTACTCAAGTGCACTAACAAACATTCGCAAACCCRGGAGACTTCACAGGTAGGACATCCAGCCATAAAAACAACATCATSACACAAAGTGCCTGGGCTACTGATACTCACATGGTTAAGATAATTAAGATGTACACGGAATAAAACAAAGCTGGAGCCCTGTTAGGGAGCTGGGTGACCAAAACAGATGTAAAACAACTTTCAACTGCTTGAGCTGCTTTTAAGAAAGACTGCCTTTGTAAAGAAGGGTCAGAACAGGCCAACCAAAAAAAAACAAACAAAAACAAACAAACAAACAAACAACCCCCAACCTTTTTGGTTCCTAGTATATTTGAATTTAAAATCCAATGGCTACATTTGGCTTTATTCACACAAAAATGTACTTTAATTTTGGCACATTAATTTCTGATGCCCTGCTGTACTACAACTGCTGCTGCATATCTGTTGCTATGAGAAATCCAAATGTGATTGCCATCTCTGGAACTGAATTCARTTGAGAATGAGTGCCTGGTAACTACCCTAAGCTTAAGTGGCAATTATACACAAATAAATTCTGTAATTCCTACAAGGTGTAGTTGAAAGGTAAATGAGATTAAAGAAAAAAAAAATCAACTGAAAAAAATCTATAAATTACATTCACAAAAAGATGTAGCAGAAAATACTTTAATTTGCATTTCATAGATTCAAACAGCAAAGATTCAGAAATGTGTTTAGATCTCAGTAAGCAGTTCAAACATTAATTCTGATTTTAATAAATGTAATTTTAATAGATCTCTAGATCTAAGGAGGAACTGTGAAGTGACAAGTTGTTGATTGACAGCTTGTAAACATAAGCACCTAGCCTAAYTACAATATATTAAAGGTCATTTCCCAAAAAAGCACAGAGCAAGGTCAGGTACCCAACCACCTTAACTCAAGAAGGTGGGTGCAGCATTACTATAAACACAGTGACATAGAGCACAAGTCACCAGCTGAAGTTGAAGAACACTTTATTATTCCAGCTTACATGTGTCTGTATCTCGCCTCAATTTATATTTTGTCTTCCCCTTCAGTGAAGATCAAGCTTTTCAACAACAGGGCCTACACTTTATAGGTGCAGCTGGCACCCAATCTTTCTTCCCCTTTGATTAAGTCTTCAGGACTTTGCAGGAGGGGGCTCTGTCTTCTCACCGCTTCTGTGATTACAATCATTGTGTCATTTACACACAGAAATGTAATTTTGCTCTGACATGAATGGCAGACAATCTTGACAAGTTGATCTTCATCAACAGCAAGCCGCAATTTGGGTTAGCTTACAGCTTACRAACAGTGTAGCCAACCTGATTCACTAGTATAAAAACCAATCTATAATTTGCTAAAAAGTTTACTTTAACATGAAGAACTAATTCACATGACAAGACTTCATAGGCAGCATAGTCAAAGAAGGTACATCAAAAACAGTAAAAAAAGTGACAGGAAAATTTCTTCAACTCGATTGCTAACATGAAAAAATCTTATTTTGTATTATTACAGTGCCAATGAGGTGAAAAGCTTCCCTGTTAAATGAGATGTACATTCAAATACAACCATTTCCCTGTACACAGGATTTTCTATTGAATTGCATTCCTKTGTTTTCACAACCCAAAGGAAAAGGAGAACTCCCCGTGACTTTATGCCCTTGTCGAGCTGTATTAACCTTGCCCAGTTTGTGCCAACCAGGGTTAGAGTTGGGAGCAGGTGCCCGGGCTCCGYGTGCCCGGATCTCCCACCTGGCCCGTGAGCAGGTGCATGGCACCAGTATATGATGATGATGATGCAGCAGTGTCCATAAAGTTTAGCCAGGCACTGGTGGAAGAAGGAAAGTAACAAGTTGCACTGCCCGAAGAAGGTTGGAAGCAGTCGACTTTCCCCACAAAGCAAGGGGGAAAAGGGAAGAAATAATTCTGAGATTCACCTCCTTCCTGRGACAGTGCAGACAGTATTTACAAATATATTTTCTTCTACATACTAGAAATTCCTGCCTAAAGTCTTAGGCACTATAGTAATAACAAAAAGTCTCAGCTATACAGCATTCTGCAAACAAGTGARCCTACAAGTTCCAGCCCTTGCAGGTCAATCTGAAAGGCAAAGAGTTAACAGCCAAGTGGAAAAAAAAAAATCTCTTTCAATATATACAATAACCCAGAATAGTTGGATTTTCATTTGACTGAAAACAGCTGTTCACATTTGAATTAGTTACCTAGGTTCTCTTTTCAATTTAAATTGAGAAGAAAAACTCCAGGGTGAAGAGCACTGCATCCTAAAATCTCATCTTAGCCAGACCTCAAAACAGGTGGGATGAGCCTGCCCAGAAGGCACCTGCTCTCCTCCATAGGCAGGAGGGGGGCCTGCGACCCGCTCGGATGCAGGTCAGGCCTGCGACGCGCAGGCAGCCGGGCGGAAAGGCGGCAGCGCCGTGCCCAGGCTGCCACGAGCCCTCTCCAACCCCGCATCCCAACAGCTCCTGCCTTAAAACAGGCACAAAGGACTGGATACCAGTTCACTGCCAGTTGATGCCGCCACCACCACCAAAGCTGTGTTCATTTCCCCTCCTCCCTGTTCAGCTGTGCCCAGGCCAGCTCAAGGATGTCCCTCCTCCAGAACGGATACTTGGAGCCCCACACAGCAGCACCAGCAGGACAGCGTCTCATCTTGTCAGGCAGGAAATCCAGCAGGTTCTGGAAAGTCTGGAAACAGAGGACATGGAGCAAACTCCGGCTTTCAGAAAGTCTCAGCTGTAAAGGATCACAGTAGGGCAGCCAATACCGTTACAGTAAGGTATACAAACAAGTCACAAAAAGCTGCTTGGGTGAGAAACTTTGGAGAGTTTAAGAGCACTTTATTCTGTGAAGACTTTTATAAACAAAAGATAAAGTTATCTATACTGTACCAGCATTTCCTACATTCAAAGCTCCTACCTTCATTGTTATGCATGCTTTAAAAAAAAATTACTTCACTTTAAATTTAAACCAATATATCTTTGCAACTAATCAGTAGTACTGTTTCTGGATTTTGGACAATGATAAGTTACCACTGATATTTGTGGACCAYTATAAGTAAGAAATCTCTTATTTTATGCAAGCTATATCATTAATATACCCGTTTTATTATGCTGAATATCCTTTTTAAAGAAGGTACAATTAGGGATTGCATAGATAGAATATGCAGTATTAAATGTCAGTATGATTATGAACTTTATAAAAGCACTTTTTAAAAGTGACTACAAAAACAAGTTCTTACATTTTTGTACTGACCTTTTAACATAGCGATAGAACATAATCCATTAAGAGAAAGTCTCTTTCATTGCTCAAAGAGAAAAATGTGCTATTCTAACATTTTAAACATTAGGAGGACARTTTCTGGAAACTGAACTTGTAATTACAGTTTGGAAGAAGATAAARGGGGCTGGAGGCAGGGCCGGCCGAGCGAGGCCTTGCTGCCAGCAGCCCGCCACTAACCACCCCCTCCCCTGCACAAGGGAACGCAGGGACTGGGTAAGGGGCTGCAGAGAAGCCACCTGCAACGACACTGCATCCGAGAAGACAGCTGCTGTAAAGGGAAAGGGAACCTTTTAAAAGCACCAGGTACGGAAAAAATATTGGTATCAGCACAATGCAAGGGAGCTCCGTGTGAAATAACGTTTTCCACTCAATAGCTTTCCTATTTTTAAGTAAGTTTCAGAATTACAACAAGGAGTCACAACACGACAAGCGTTACTTCCTTTTGCAGTTTTTCTTTTACAGAGTCAGAATCAGAGTACCCARGACTCAGAGTACTCAGAATACAGTGAAGTTCAGTCCTGAACCTGAGGCAGGAAAGAACAGGAAAGGCCAAGCCAGGATGGAGGTACAGTCATTTCATACAGTCATTTTGGAAAAAAAACAAGTCAGGAAATAAAGAAAATTTAGGAAGTGTCAATACAACAGAATTGTGAGCAGAGAACTTACAAAATAAACAGATCAGCATAATTTACATGTTTAAAAACTATATACTTCATTCATAAATATCTTTTCTAATAGCCATTCCTAGTTCAAACATAAATATTCAAGTTGGTATTTGATTTTACTTTTGATCAGTTCATAGAGTCCTGTAAGGATCAGCTCCTTCTGCTCAATGCAATCATGCAAATGATCTTCACTAATGGGTTGTGCAAAGGCCTTCATTACCTAGTCTGTTGTAATAAAACTTTAAAATTCTGCAAYTCTTTTATACTTGTGGAAAGCCTGTAAAAGAAACAAATGTTCCAAGTGTTAGTAAACCAGCTGCAGAAGTGCAATTTCTTTTTTTTCTTTTCTTTCTTTTTTTTTTTTTTTGGAAGAGGGGGAAGTAAATTCTATCCCACAAATTATTTTTCCTCAGAATATCTATTATCTGGCACTCCGCAGTATTTACATAAAATGTTACAGGGAAAGCTTTATTTCATCACTTACACAGACAAAATTATTACAGTTTACAAAAATTTAGGCAAAAATTAAAGATCTACAAAACAATCACAYTACACAGAAATTTGAACACCCTGGGTGTGTAGAACACCTAAAGTACTTTTGTTCCTTTTCACTACTTTTTATGTATACACATTTAAGATAGAAGCGTAAAATGTATTCATAAAATAGCTGTAGTCAGTGTCCCAGGCCCAAAACAGAGGAGACATACCCAAACTCTAATCTACAAGGCTGCTCAAGAAACTTAAAACTAGACTTCTTAAGATTGAATTTGAGATCTGGGATAAAGAAATGAGTAAGATCCCAACAGAAGGATTTAGCTTGATGGCATTAAATTCAGTCATGTCACTAGTAAATAYGTTGTCTTTAAAAGTATGAGCTGCCTGATCAGTACCACTTCTCCACAGATCTTGTGCATTGACACTAAAGAGGTTTTTATTTTCTTTTTAAACTATACAAATGACAAAATAAACCTACCTTCCAAAGGCATTTATAAGAGCAACTATTTCTTGACGTGTGAGTTGAAAACCTTTTGATGGACTATTCTCAGGAAGGCTCTGTATTTCTTTTTCAGAAAATAAAATCTTCAGAGCAGTTCCTAAGCCTTGAGTCTGCAAGGAAATTCCCATGTTTTAGCATCAAAAAGATTACATTCTCTTACTCTCCAGAAATTGTAAAGAACTTACAAAATTACTAATCCAAACATGTAYTATCAATTCTTATATATCAGCTCTCCCTCAGAGTGCACACAAACCAAAACACTAACGCAAATGCATGCCAACAGCTCTGCATTAAGTTCACTCACTTAAGAACATTTGGTCCTTCAAATGTATTTCCTCTTCCTCTTCCTCTCTTCTTGGAGAAGAATCTTTCTTCTCCATTTCCCTGCTTGCCAGCACACCAAAGGCATCTGACCTGTTAAGACCATTTCCAGCTCTTCCCCCTAACAGTACCGAGGCCTCACTGCAGTGGGACCTGTTGGATCAGATCTCTTTCTTTCCTCACCCACTTTTTCCACATTAAGCTATGTTATGATGTGTCACAACGTGTCTTCATGCTTTCTTCAGCCCCAGTCTCAAAAGCAGACACTGCAGCTCCCATTGCAAACCCTCTTTTCTCCACAGGAGTAGAACAGAAGCTATTCCTGCTTCCTGTTTTAATAAGGCTGGGAAAGAACTACTGGCTTTTGACACAAAGCAGTTGAGGGTGGCTGCAAGAGAGGTCAAGGGATTCCTCTTCCTTACTTCATTTTGCATGAGAAGAGGAAAGGAAAAAAAAAAAGGAAAAAAATAAAAGCAGAGTGGCTCGGACAAGGCAAGCAAGCAGAACCCTGGAAATTCAGCAGGGGGCAGATTTCTCTGTTCTGATTTTGCTGTTGTTGAGAACCACGCCCTTGTTAAGCTTCATGTTTGGCAATGMCAGGCATCCTAAGTACCAGCTATTCTCAGTCTGAACTTAACATTAGTCTTGAGATTTAATATCTTGTTCTGAATGAAACAGAAATATGAAGTGTCCACAGACTTTTAAAACTCTCTCATCTTTACTGCGCATTTTATAATATTCTGTGGTCRTCTGAAGAGCACCTTTCACCTCATAAGGTCTCAGTTTCTAGAGGACTTTTTAARTCTAAGAAAAATGTGATTTGTTTGCTTCCTTCTCCGTAAATAATTAAAATCTGAATGACCTTTTTCTTATGCCTCAGTTTGTGGAATTAAACCTCATGTTAGACCTTGATGATTAATCAAACAAATGCACTGTTTCAGGAAGGTTCCCTGTAGCTGATGGAAGGCTTATCTGGTCACTGAATACAGACGTTGATTGCCAACAAGATTTTGCCTTGAAGTGTCTGTTCTAAACCAGGTTTCACAGAACACAAACTGCACCTTTTAGTCAAGAGAAGAGCTGTGGAGAGTTTTATCACGTTTCTAAGAAGTTAAATACATTTTGTTAAAGAGTAAGCTAAAAATAGCTGCATTTTTAATACATATGTAATACACATGACTCTGTAATGTTCAGAGAGTGTGGATATTTTGGTAAGAGGGGTCCTGCCAAACTGAAATAGATGCTACTCTCCCAACCTCAGAACACATAAAAAGACACCATACCTGAAGCTTGCCCCACAATCTGCATTTATCACATCCAACACAATCCATAATGCGGGATATGTTCTTGAAATGCAATCTAAATTCTTCCTAGTTGTTAGACGAAAAAAAGAAACAACAGCAAAAGAAAGGTTAGTTTAAAACACAGTTTTATAAAAAACAGGTTAGCTATTTTAGTACCACTAGAGCATTAATCCTCTCCTGCTAACACAGAACAAAACCTCTACCATGCAGGTCAGGCCRTTAAAAGAGTCTCTGCCAGCACCCTCTCCTTTTTCCAAGCTCAGCATTTCCCGAGCTGTATCTTTGTGTCTGTGCCAGATTTTTCTTCTATTAAATTGTCCAATTCTTTCTGAACCCACACACATTTTTGGACACACTGGTGAACAAAGTTAGACACAAGAGACTTTCTGTTCAAAGTTCTGGGAGACTGTTGCTTTGCAGGCTCAGTTAAAGTGAAAGCTATGGGACCTATCAAACAAAAAAGCAACACAGCACTAATTAAGATGGTCTAAATTAAATAYAGAAGGTCAAAAAGAAAAGGATCTGGGCTATAGGCTATTAGCATCTTTTTATAGTGAGAGATTCCAGATAGTCTAAATATACAGAGATTATCTAAATAATTAGTAAAACCAAACTTGCATCTTTGCTACATTGAGCCACATCACAGTTGTGGAAGTGTAAGGCATGGCAACTCAAACAATTACCTGTTAGCACTGCAAGTCACTAAATAGCATTTCCATTACACTCTAGCCTCCAGAAACTACATCTTTTTAATGTTAAATTCATTCTCGTTCATCTATCTGTACATATAATCATTGGACATGTTTTTAAAACAAAGTTAAAAGTCACTGGATTTTTCCTTTGAGAAGTCTAATCCATATAAATACAATACTAGTTTTGATAGACTTACTTGCCTTATATCACAGTCCTAATGTCAGGACAAAGGCACTGAAACAGATTTTAGTTTGTTTAGGTACAGAGAACACCTTTCTGTAAATTCTTAATCCTCCCCTTTTACACTTTGTTTTCCCCATATACCAGAAGGGTGCTGTTGAAGGGGCTTTTCTAAACTAAAAATCAGTATTTCGTGCGTTAATCAGAGAGTAGCAATAAGCAATACTGCTTTACCTTTAATGACTTGGCTCCTTTTTTATCTCCAGCAAACATGGACTTTTCATCAAAGTGCATACGGAAGGACCTAATAAAGGCAAAATACACAAAAAAGCCCCATGAACTACGAAGTACTATCAAGCTCACTGAGCAGTGGTTGTGAGCAAAATAAGCTGGCACACGCAGATTCACATACAGAAACTGCAAAACAAAGCAAGAATGCAACCTACTAGCATTCAGGATGCAAGAGATACTCTTCACAGAATAGCTCTCGAGAATTTCACTGAACACCAACAGCTTCTCTGTTTAGTTTTATAATTTGAAATGTGTTATTTACAGTTTTGTTGAGAATTTCTTCATCCTATTTCCACTGATCAATACTTTCTTCTAATATATAATTCAACCTTTTAGTATTTGCCTTTTGGCTTGATCGCRCCTGACCACATCTCAGATACCTAGCAAGATTACAACTACAGAGAACAATTAAGTCACAGAATATGTTATCTATCACAAAAAATAGTGGAAAGGTGAGCAAAGAATCTGGAGTAAAGAACTAAATGGTTAAACTTCAGAGCTAAAACCCTAGGCTAAAAATTGAATTAGTCATTGACCATTAGAAGATTACATGGAGTATTTTCCTTTTCAAAATAAGTTAGGTGTCTCATATACTGAARCGTCAAAAACCCCACAACATAAAGGGATGAGGTTTTTTTTTTTGCCTTTTTTTTTTTTTTTGACTGGCACATGAGAATCTCTGAAAAATATTTATGTCTTCCTGTCAAAAACACTACTTGTTCCTCCATGGCTTAATTTTACTTGGTCTTCCTACTCTCCCTCCCATCCTGCATAGTCAACGAGCCATGTATTTTCAACTTGAGAACATAACTGAGAATTTCAAACCACTGATAAAAAAGTTCCTGCCTTACTTTGTATCCCTGAAGATATCTAGTAAGAGAGCTTTAGATTCAGCATCCTCATGACCATTTCCAGTGTAAAGGTCAACAACTGAACGCTCAAAGTACGGTGCAACCTTTGATAAAGCCCGCAGCTCTATCAAATACAGAAAATACAGGTTTTTGAGCCTCCTTGGTCCTTCTCCTTTTGTTTCGATAGGGTCGAAGCGGCGAGTGAACTCTTTTACGTTTGGTCCCCAGCGAGGTTTCCCCCAGGTTTCTAAGACAGAAATAAAAAAAGAAGAGAGAGGAGAGATAAATGGATTTGAATAAGGACTACAACTAAGTACACACCAAAAATATTCAGAGAAAAAACAAATACACATTAAGGATAACATAGGAGTCCATTCATAAGTTTTTCCATTGACTTTGATTACCTTCAAGAAGATAATTTGCACATAGATGCAAGTTGATGCTAGCATGAAGTCCAGAAATGAGTTTATAGAACACTCTTTTCTCAAGGCAAAGACCTGTCCAGGGAAAAAAAAAAAAAAAAAAAAAAAAAAGAGGAGACAAATAAGAGAGGAAAAAAACCCCCCACAACCCTGAATACTTAAAATAATGATGTGTTAATCGTAATGTTATCTTTTATATCTTGAACATAAAGTCTTTGGCTTTTAACTTTCAAAAGTTTTTTCTTACAGAACTTCAGCATTATTTTAGCAGTRCTTTTAAATCTTTATATCCATCATATAGAAAGTATATATCCTATTTTATACATAACGAAGCCCTAAGAATAAGGTTTGACATAACATGTCTTAGCTTATAAACCTAAAACGGGCAGAAAATTCAAAGTAACTGGTATTGAAGCGAACTCCATCTTTTAGAAGATTAAATACTCAAACATTAAAGTAGTGCACAATATAAAGGAAAAGAAGTTCTCAAAGTCCTCAAGCAAAAATGTTGAGTGACATTCAGAAGTTCTGCACAATTCATTAAAATCCCACACTAAGAAAAATACTGGAGAAAAGCAAAAAAGTACACTACATCTAGGGAATTTATTATGTTAACCATCCAAGAGACTTTACCTTCTAGCCATGTGTAGAAAGATTCTCCTATAAATAAAAAATATATAGTTAAACAAACAGCATTCAGGCACATGATAATGTTGAAACTATTAGCTGCCAACTGGTCACAAAGCTAAATAATTTAGCTATTCATTCACTGAGGTGACAGGATTTTTAGGTTAGCTCAGATCTTTCAAAGTCAAGAAAAAAATCACAAGAATGATCATGATTAAGCTGCTAGTGAGGGTGTTCAGAAAGCAGAATCCTGATTCTCAGCACTAGCGGTGAAGGACACGTGAAGAAAGGTGAAGGTGCAAAGGGGAAGGTTAAATGATACAAATGAACATTTGTTTCCTCTGCCCGCCAAGTGACAGCCTTCACTTTGTCCCTTACCGTGCAAACGGTTCCCAGGAGACCCTCCACTCTGACACTTGGATCTTTTGCCCACGRGAGTTTTAGTTAACGGAAACATCTCAAGTCTATCCCACTACCACCCGACCCATGTTCTTTCCTCCGCACCTTGCCCTTGCTTTGCCCAAACCAAAGGGGCACTCAAGGAGAGCACAGAGCCCTGTCCCTGTCCTTTCAAGAGCTCGGACACACACACACACATCTGGAAGAGACCCCAGCCTCAGGAATCCTTCAATTTATGCCCATCTACTCTTCTCACCAGTTAGGCTATTACAACACAAACCCTAGCAAGGATATAAATCAACAACAGAACTGTTCTGGGCTATTTCTCACTCCTTCCCCCCATTCCCATTGAAAGAACTGTTCTTTTATCAATAACTTTGACAAAAACATAACTCCCCCACCCTCCAGTATAACAGCAATAAAACAAGTGTATCAGAAGGCCAAGACTGCAATGCTTACCTCCATCCTAGAGGTTAAGCATAGAAGGATGACTTACCATCATCTCCACCTAGGAAGAAGGGGGGGGGATCCATGAGTTTGAAACAGACCATTTTCCACAGCAAAGCAGTAATGAAACAAGTCAAACCATAAACACTGGGAAAAAAAAGCCCAAGAAACTACCAGAAAAGGCAGGCAGCTTTCTACCTTCTTCCCCCTCCTCAAGTCAAGGCAAGACTAAATATATTACTCCAAAAAAGTCACTTGGAATTGGAAAAGTTAATAGCATCTGATTTACTTTCAGTATTTTTGAAAGATATGCTCTAGCTTCAGAAAGCTGAGTAGGAGCCATGCTCTTCAGTTCACATTATTCAGTCTGATCAGTGCTCCTTTCTGATCCCTGAGTTAAACTACTGTTATAAATGGCTTTATGTGTATACACTGGCAATATATTTAAAATAATGTAACATATCACTTAAAGGTATCTTGTGCTTGTAATTTATGGTGGTATTTTTTAACAGAGTTTTGGTTATTCTTTTTTAATGAGAGGAGAGAAGCACTCATGGGGAAAGCTGTATACAGATCAGTAACACAAACTTAAAATTTTCAATTTAAACTGGAGAATTTTATACCCAGGCCACTGGCATACATTGCAATATTAATGTTAATATATTTCTGAAGATAACTGAGCCTTTCCTAGGAATCCATTTTTTTTTTTATAATAACACTTGTAATATATTAAACATTGATTACAGAAAACTTATAACTCTGTTCCATTAGGATGGCCATCAGCTGAAGTGACCCATGTAAATGCTTTAGGGGAAAAAAAGACAAGTGAAGAATGGTGAAGAGTCTTGTGGAACTTTAATCCTTCAACTTCTCATCCACTTTGGAAAACCACTGTAACACTGAGCCAGTCAACTGCTCTTAGATACACTTTATTTCTCCTGTAAGCTTCACTGTCATTGATGAGCCTATTTACATGAACAAGATTAAGCACGTATGTAAACAGATTTAAATGGATGATCATGCTTTAAGATTTGAAAATAGATAGCTACATCTACATAAGGAAGGGAGGAATAAAAAAGCACATCTACTACCTGAAGAATATTATTTGCATTACTTGCACTGCAACAGTCACTCTGTTAGAAAAATATCATTAAAAATAAAATAGGCAAGACCCACCCCTACTAGGCGCCAGTGGATTTAAAGGACGATAGACAGATCGAGGCCTAGAAAAGGAAGTTAGAAAATACAAAAATCAGTTGTAAGGCAAGTCAAAGTGCAGATATAAAAACAGACTCCCTCCCCACCCCTGTTACTTGAAGCAGTTTTCTTCATAAATGCTGTTCCACACTCTCCATGCAGAGGGCCCTTTGTATCCAGTGTAACGTTCAGGGTTCAGCAGCAAATCCACATACTGGGCATCTGGGGATCTCTCATCTAAATAGGAAAATTTGTGATATGTTCTAGCTGGTCATTTCAAAAAAAGACTTAATTTAACAAAAACAGTTACAAAGAATTAAATGTGAGTTCTGATAGAACACTCTTCCATCATCTTCTTGACTTACAAATGCACTGTGYGTAAGACCACAGCAATACACACCAAAGAGAAAACCTCAAAGGACAGGGTCTCTTGTGCTGCCGTAATTTCTGCTGTACCTCAACATTTTCTATGGGGTCATTCAACAGCACTATCGACACTTGTCGCAATATATGTGTTCTCTAACATGGCTTGTTTTAAGCAGACTTTAAATTAAGGGTTATGTGCCTGGAAGTGCTGGGGGAGGGTTAAATGGTAAATAGCACTAAGTGGTTTTCTCAGGAGAGACAAGGTCACAGGAGTGTATCTTGAGGTTGAAACATACCATGGATTTGTTAACTAATACTTGTCTTCCCCCAGCAGATATTCATATACCCTGGCAGAAAGCTAGGCTCACACCACGTCACTGAGAGAGCTTTCAATGTATACCAGGTCATCTGTTAGTTACAGAACAAAATGCGCTATTTAGCTTGCAGAAATCTGTAAGTTATACCCTGCTCTCTAAACTTCACTTCAAATTTCAAGCAGCCTATCGAAAGAAACCTGTTAAACTGTTCTCTCTACTTGAAAATTCTGTAGGAACAGAGACTTAGGTTTTGAGCTGAGTTACAACCAGTAAAAAGCTTGTACAATTCCCTCCCCTTTTGTACGTTAAGAGCAACCCATACTTAAAGACAACCAAAAGAGAAAAAAGASAAAGAAAAAACAAAACAAGACAGTAGTTCACAGCCTTAACCATAACCAAAAAGATAGGCCAAGCAGCACCACTGAGTATTTCATCAGAAGGGAGGGGGAAAACCACACACACAGAAGGAAACCAAGAGAACTGCTCTAGAAGGAAGAGATGATCCTGTGAGAATCATTGAGCTTCGCTCCATCTCTTCAGCAGTATTAGAAGAGGGGAGAAAAAAAAAAAAAAAAAGACACAAGACGACACACACAGTGAGTGCCAGATGAGACAAAAACCAAACCACAGCCTGCTTGATTTATTTGTTGGCATGGCTAACCTAAGCAGTTCCTAGCCTTCCTGATCACTTGTTCCTCTCACTGTCCATGCACAGCTGCAGCCTGGGACACTGCAGCAGAACAAATGAAAATCTGATGAGCAGATGAAAAAGGTTTGTTTCCCCGGGTAGATGAATTCCTGGATCTAGTTTATGACAAGGCTGACAGAGCAAAGCTGCAGTTGGGTGCGCTCTGCCACCCATGGGAGGAGAGAAGGGGAGTTTCTTCTGCCTCCCAACTGCGCGATTCTCTCCCTCTCCTTTCCCTGGCACTGGCTAAGCCAGGTGACCCCAACAGGCAAGGCAGGGGCTGGGGGAAGACAACACCAACTTTTCTTTCTGTTCCTGCAGCCAAGCAGGCCAGCTCCGCAGCAGGCAGTGAGGCAGTGTCGGGGGAAAGCAGAGGCCCTGGARGCAGCGGGCGCGGGGCCGCGCTTCCCGCTTCCGCGGGGCCGTGCGCTGCGCCCAGCGGCTGCGCCACACGCTGCTGAAGGAAGCGCTCCTTGAACTGAGCACCTTTCCCAAAGGGGTCCTCTCGCACAGCTGAGTAAGCGGGAGGCTTGAGGGCTGCAGAGGCAGCAGCAGCTTATTGCAGAGGTGCAGATCTCCCTAATGCTCACTAAGCGTTTACTACTGAACAGTTGATAGGGAAAATTCTCACAGATAAGACACAGCAGAASCGATGAGAGACCTGTCTACTACAGCTGTTTCTTTCTCAGGTGACACAAAGCCTGAGCCTAAAGATAAGTTAAAACACTTTGCAGTCTTTCTACAATGGGAGGCTAACTATCTATTAAAAAGGAATTGGGCGGCTGCTGCTAGATTCTCGAATATAACAATTTTCATATTTATCTGAAAACCTTCCCTGTATGCTTTGAATATTAGAAGCAAATAAACAAACAAAAGGACTTGCACGTGTGAAGCAGAAGGAAGATAACTCAGTATCCTGCTTTAACAGGAAGAAAGTCTTTACCAAAAAAAAAAAAAAAAAAAAAAAAAAAATAAATCTTTTTGTTCAGTGTTTTTTCTACTTGTAAGGTAAGGCAGCAGCTCTGTGCCTTTGTGAGGCAGTTTGTATAACAGCCCAGACAGCACTTGGAAGAACAGCACAATTTGAACAACAGTAATCACTAGATCTCGTATGACGTCTTCTGCAAAAAAAAAAAAAAAAAAAAGTGACTTTACCACAGAGATCATTGAAGGCTGGAAAGGAACATATTCAGCCCAAGCATACACAATAAAATTAACAGCAAAGATAGTAAGAAACTAAATGGGGTGCAAGTAAGGTGTCTTCTCTTTGTATTGTATGCAACTCTTCTGTCAGAGGCAGGTTTTTCTTTTTTTTTTTTTTTTTTTAAATACACTAAAATCCTCCCATTAATTTTCTTCTTCTCTATTTCTATCAATGCCTCCCGCTCACTGTACCAGCATGGGGTAAAATAGTGTATATTAGGCAGAATACACATTGTTCCATGTAAAAACTGTATTCTTGGCATGTAAGATAATATGAAACATCACATGACCATTTAGCACAAATTAAAATTTTWTATTAAAAATGATTTAATATTATTAAAACTTTTTAGAAGTAGTTATTTGCAGAGCAACCATCACCTCCTGTGTGTATGTGTGTGCACATGTGTTTTGCTTTAACAAGACAGCAAATAAAACAAACAGTCCAAAAAAGCTTAAATATTTTTACCATCGAGTTCACAAAAATGATCCTGTGAATCATCGTATCTTGCCCAGTCAATGAAAGCCTCCTTACTTTGGTTACTGAGGAGAAGAAAATATATTTGATTTTAAACTTTTTAAATAGACAAAGTCAATAAGAACTATTGAAAAAAACATGATCCACACAAAGTAACCTGAAACTGAGTTCTGAAATACTGTCTGACACTTGAATATACGGAGTTACTGCTGCTCATTAGCTGTACAGAGATTCAAGCGGGCATCAAACGCAACACTTCTAAAAGCAAGTTTAACATAAAATAACACGAAAGACTTTACTGTCCCTTATCTGAACAAACTGTGCACTGGTAATGACTTCCCTCCCTTCAGTAAAAGCTCAGCATACTATTTCCATAGCACAGGTTTTAAAGTACTTCTCAAAGCAGTTGTCTAGCTACTATCATTTTTAATTAATTTCAAAGGGACCTACAACAGTTAGCCTGGCTTTGAGCGGAGGTTGCGCTCCCCCTAGAAAGCCCTTGCAATCTAAATTATTCTATGCGCATGAACTATCTTAAGCCTTATAAACAACGTTGGTACTGCACTCATCCTGGCATTTCCAGGCACGGACAGRCAACTAGAAGTTCCCTATGAAATGCAAACAGCACCAGAAGTTAAATGCTTCCTTCTAAACACATGGGCAGTACAAAGCTACTGATGCTGCCAACAGCAACATGTGAGCAAGGTTCAGTTTGGGAACTCCTGCCCTAGGGCAGAGCCTTGAAGGAATGAGAGCTGCCCATTCAGTCTGATCAAATTAAAACAAGCTCACTTGCACACAGCCAGTTCTGCAACAAGGGACAGTCCCTACCCTCTGCCAAATCCCAACAAGGGACTTTATATTTGGTAATAACTCAGGAGCCTTGGAAGCTTCCTTAATGAACTTCTCCAGTAATTACTACTAGAAATTACTAGTAAGGACTGAAGAACATTTGTTAATCATAAGCAATACATTTGATAAAGGAGAATAACCCAAATCCACAAGGATGATGCACTGCTAGGTAGAGAATGAGGAGGTTGCCTTACAAATCACAAACTCTTCTTGCTATTTCAAGACCATATGCACATATACTCAGTTCCTTTTTTCCTTTAGGAGTGGGACTTATTTTCCATTAAAAAAATAATTTCTCCTTCAATAGAGCCCCTGCCATGCAATAACCAAGATCAGGAAACTGATCCAAGCTAAAAGTAACTTTGTCAACAACAAAGGAAGTCACGGGCTCCCTGATCTAGTTCACCAAAGATCACAAACAGTGATCACAAACAGATCAGTKTAACAGAACACAGACCAGGCCAAAATCCCTTAATTCAGTGCAATCATCAAGAACAACGAAGCAGCARAAGGTATGGAGGAAAAAATTCTTTGTATTTGCAAGGTTTCTCCCCTCCAGATGCCATAAAATTACTTGAAGACTCCTAATTGAAGCCACTTTGTAGAAAGAAAAATCTATTTATTATTTTCTTAAAACCTATCAGATGCTCTTTCACATTTACTTTTTAATGGACTATGGAAAGAATGAAGAATGAAAATGAGCACACTGCAAAAAAAYAAGACAGACAAGATGAAATGCTGCTTTGTTACTATTTTTGTATTAATGTTGTAAATCACAGCATACCTTAGGGTACTGTTAACTGCTCCTAGTTTGTTAGCTTGCTCACAGTCTTCCAATTCTTTGGAATTATTTGCTGCTTTTGAATACTGAAAAATAGTTTATTGTTAGTATACAAATAGCTTACCTAAAATTCTTTGAGAATAAAAAGTGATGTGAATGTATTTGTGAGTTTACCTGTGAACCTGCCAGTACTGGCATGTATTTTAGAAGTGGCAAACAACTTTGGAACATTTCTTATTTCTTTCTTCACTAACTTTCACCAGACCACTTTCATCCCATTGATTTAAATGCCACAGATAACTTTATTCTTATAAATTGACCTTAAAAGACAAACATTCTTACACTCATACACATATCTTATATTTTGCAAGCATCATCACACCACAGGTGATTTTTGTTTTGTCAGAAAGCCCATCAGCTTCGGTTACTTCCCATTTATGTTTCAATTAGTCCTGTCCACAAACACAATTTAAGCATGGACAGACCTGCAAGAGAGGCTTCATGAACTGGATTCTGATTTTGTTTGTTCTGGAGTAAAATCAGAATCGAGGTTCTCCACTGCAATATTTTTGGACAAAAATATTGTCCAAAGACAATATTTTTAAGAAGTAATCCAGTAAAACAGAGGTATACTAAGAGTAAGAGGCTAGGTAAAAATTGTAAAATAAATAAATAGAGAATTCCTTATTTCACTATACTATGTTTATATCACCAGGAAATTTATTAGCCTGCTCTAACCATTCTGGAACATAATAGATGGTATCAGTGCTCACTTAAAAAATAAGACCAACTTTTTTKTTTGTTTGTTTTTCAGACTGAGCCTGCAGATTACAGAGTTTTATTTTATCAGCTTCTAAGAAATACATAAAATGACTTAATTTTAGCAACCAATAGCTTGCCATGAAGCTAAACCATTGGTCTCCACTCCAGCGTACATACCTACATCAATTCACATGTCAAAACTAAATCATTATTCAGGTTGTCACTCTGAAATTCAGGCTTTCCAGCTGTAACATTTGTTTTAGAGTCCATTATATGTGATATTCTTGTGTTCACAACATTATAMAACTATTGACATGACGCATTACTATCCAGAGACAGCTCAAAAATCAGAAGCTGAAGGTTTTGAACAACTCAGGAAAAGCAAATAAAAAGAKCTGGATTTTTTTTAGTGGGTAATACAGGAAGCCAGACTTGGGTCAAAGTTMAGTTTTTATATTTCCATGCATTCAGAAAAGCTGCAGAGTTTTTATTCGCGATTTTCATGCCACAATGCTCTCTATAAAAAGATGCACTTAGACCTGTTCAAATAAATAAGCAAGAACACTTGCTTCAAATATACACTTGTGTGTGTACTTTTACTACTCCTTAGAACTGTTGTTCATATGTTGTRTAGACCTGAAGGCTGAGCTGTGATCCAAAGCTTACTCCTGACACGGCACAACTTGGGCACAGCTACACCACTGAAGCTTCCGAGAAAATTGCTAAGATCTTGAGAAAGATTTGAGAAAATATAAAAATACACAGATCAGGTCTAAGAAAAATCCAGGTAAAACTGCACATGGAGGTGAGATTGTAGAGCTGTCAACATGCAGGTGCTCAAGGATTTCAGAGTAGAGCAACTGAGTCAGAAATATAAACTATCCGTGGAAGGGTGAAGCACTGGCAGCTCTGCCGCAGCGAGGCTTACCCTGTAGCAAGGGGCAAGGGAAACTCTCCCTCTCCCCTCTGGCTGACTACTGTCTGGCAAGCAAAGCCTTAAGTACTTTTTCAGACTAAATATTGATGCTTATRCTAAGTGCTTGTTAGTCCCAAGTAGCCACTGTGCACATAACCAATTGCTTTTTACTTTCCTGTTGTCTTCCCAGCTTAGTCACTTTGTACACTCTAGAATTCGTCTGAAATGACCCAAAGAAGGGCTACACAACAAAACCCTGCATAGGATGCCCTGCACGCTCAGGTAAAGACAGAAGACTTTGAGGAYGCTAATGAAAGGCTATGGACAACATGAATTTTTAAAGGGTGTTTTAGAGAGTTTGTATTCTCTCATACACCATGCAAATATAAGCAATTACATGGTTTAAAAAAACAAAAAAAACACACACCTCAAAACAAAAACCCACCTTTGTTGCAGGACAGATAAATGAGRGGCCTTCCTCTCACCTATGAATAGTACTATGCAAAAAGAGCCTAATGCACATTTGGAAACACTAAAATGGAGTACGATGTAATTGTTAACACTTCAAAACTTTTCACTCATTTTTCTTCTATTTTCTAGGTGTGGGGCTCATTCTTCAGCATCATATGACTGTTAAGTGGAAAAATAAATCAACTGAAAATGGATCTGACCTAGAAAGAAACAGAACGTGCTGATGAAATAACATACTGAGATGCTAAACTAAACATTCTGCATGTCTAGATTTGCAAACCAATCCCTACCCTGAAGTGAAAAAAATGACTGCCAAGAATACCATCCTAAATCTAAGTTTCCAAACAGAGTGAACATTCAAGTCTAAAACATGTTTGCAGACTCCACTATGTTCCAGTGTTTAACAAAAGCATCTAAGGAACCTTTGTTGCTGCTGTGATCTTGATCAGGACAAAGTATCTGTTTTTGCCAAAGCAAGATCTCCCAAGTGCAGCCTCTGAAAGAAAACCGAAGAGCAGTGGGCAGGAAGCAGCAAATGAAGCTAGATGACATGTCCTGGAGTTACTTCCTCCTGTAGCTTGCTTCACAGCAGTCATTCAGAATCTGTCCCCCCAAAAAGTTTCATCACTCGGATGAAGCAAGACCAAAGATAGGGAAGCTACTTTGAGTCTCTCCAGCAGCACTTAAGAAAAGGCCACTGGGGTGCAACAGTTGAAGAGATTTTCTACTGCTAACTGCACATCTGTGAGGAAGCTGGGGAAATGTAATTCTGATCTTTGTGGCTAGCTCATCTTCCAAAAGCAGAAGAGCTGTCTCTGCTARATCCTATGGCTAAACAAAAAAGTAAACCCCCCCAAAAAAAGTCTGGGCTTAAAATTTATAAACTCTTCTGCATTACGAGGGAAGGATAATAAAAAACTGCACAGAAACCARCGCATTGGTCCACAGAAGACTTCTCCACAAGGTTCTACATTGACTGCACCTACACAAGACAACCTAACTCAGCCCAAAATATACTGCAGATAATACAAAACTGAGTGCCTGACACAGAGGGTTGGGTTGTCATTCAGAGGAACTCTGACAGGCTGAGGAAATGGGCAGAGAGAAACCTCATGACATTCTGCAATGAGAAGTCCTGCATTTGGGGAAGAACAACCAAGCACCAGTTCAGGCTGGGGCCCAGCCAGCTACACAGCAGCATCTCTCAGGGAAGGACCTGGCAGACAACACGGGGAACGTGCAACCTCCTGGCAAGGATGACCCATGGCATCCTGGCTGCACTGGGATGAACAGTGCTAGCAGGCTGAAGGAGGCAAGTTACTCCTCTGCTCAACACTGGTGAGGCCACATCTGTCCACATCTGGCCTCCCAATATGAAACAAACTGGGATTCAATGGAGKAAGTTCAGTGAATGGCTGCAAAGATAATCAAGGGATTACAAAAACTCTCATATGAGAGGATGAGAGAGCTGGGACCATTCAGCCCGGAGAGCTGGAGCTGTTCCGGGGGAAGAGGAAAGCTTATCAATGTTACTAAATGTAAAAGAATGCAAGGGTGTAAAGATGACAGGACCAGACTCCTCTCACCAGTGCCCAGTGATAGGGCAAGAAGCAATGGGCATAAATTGTCAGAGAAAACTCCATCTGAACATCAACAACTTCTTCACTGTGAGTGTGACCAAGCACTGGAGCAGGCAACCTGCAGAGGTTATGGAGTCTCCATCCTTGCAGATACCCAAAATCCAACTGGACATTGTCCCAGGCAAACTGCTCTAGCTTACCCTGCTTTAGCAGGCTCGGAGTTGGACCAGATGATCTYCAAAGGCCCCTTCCAAACTCATTTATTCTGCAATTCTGCGTTTATTGAAAGATTCTTTTGTTTGTTCCACCTTGTTTGCAAGATAGACACTCTGGATGAAAGAGACTGACTGCAGAAGCACAAAATTAATATGTCCCCTTGCAACCTCCACTTTTCCCTCATTAAAGTAATATTTTGAAGAAAACCCACAAGATGCAAGATATTCCCAGCAGACCAAGCACAGTCTAACATGACAGTGCAAAGGTGTATATACTCCTTGAATCAAAGTGTCCATATTAAGATGGATCTGATGTTTCCTTAAAACAGGTATTCAGAGAAATCACCATTTTTAACTGGTTCCAATAAAGATCTTTAACTCAATCATAACAAGTAGTCTGAAGGGTAGAGGTAAGCCTCATATCAGTCTTGATAACAATTTTCTTGCAGAAGTATTTATAATTCTGAAAGAAAAGAAGGTAAGAAGAGTCTTAGTTCCACCTTAGTTAAAGGTGTGGAATTGCCCAACTTCCAGTACTGCAAATGATTTCAGCAGCCTATTTAGAAATCCAAAATATATATATATATAAAACACACCAGCAAATGATACTTTCCCAAATCCCCCTTCTTTAGTGCCATGAAATAAAAAGGTGGCTGAAATTCACTTTGAAAGTCTATCTCCTTTTGTGAATTATCTTWAGAAAGGCATACTCATCTGATACTAAATAATACCTTCAATAGGGCTCCTGGGAATAATTAGGAGGCTCAAATGCCTCAATTTGTGTTCATTTATTCATCACGACTTCTAAAAGCCTGTCTTCAGAAAAGCATTGTTGTATTTCAGGAGTCAGTTTCTCCACGATCAAGCTTAGAGAAAAGTCAACGTAAAAGTGGCAGCCACAGATATTCCAGGTAAAATACAAAATCTTCTGTTCAGTGATAGCACTCATTTCCAGAGCAGCTATTACTTATACCAAAACACATTTATCCACACTTAAGATTTCAGACTGAGCTTACCAATACATGTACAACCAGGAGACAAGACTTCTGCTTGAGCTGGAGCTCAAACTGATTTATCCGCACTGTCCATGCCAGTAGAACACATGGAAGCCATCCACTTGCAATACAGTATTCCCCTCAGCTGTCTYTGGTGATCTTCCTTTAATTGCTAAGGCTTTTATCTTGAGAACTGTGGTTGGGATTTTGGGGATATGGTTCGTTTGTCCCCACCCCTGTTCTGCCTCTGACCTCCTTTATAAGTCTTTATGCTTTCTTTACACGTTTTGCTTTGCTTTCTTTTTTGATTATTACAGGTTTAATTTATACATGTTTATAACAAAAGACTGCACTGCTACTRCAGCTGTCTGTCTACAGCATTACAGAAGGTTGCTCAGAAGTAAATGAGAGTTTTCCTTTAGGCATTCAGTGACATACACTATCTTTGGTCATTCATTKATTCAGTAAGTACCAATTACCAAGCCATAGAAGTCTCAAAGACATAACAGCACTAATTAGGTCGGAAACACCATGTTGCATTACACACAAAACTAAAAATACAAGCTACATKCAGAAAGTGTATCAGTTGGGTTAACAATTTCATCAGAATACCACAATGGAAAGTTTGTGATAGAAAACTAGTTCAGAAAACTACTGAAATGTTAGGATTAATTAGAAAATAAAAGTCCAAATACAAATGACTACTTACTTTATTAGAGCTTCCAGCTTTAATTCCAACAGGTACTTTGCTCTAAAAAAAAGTAATTCATAATTCTTAATTTATTCATAATCATTTCTACGAACAGTTTAAAGTTTAGAAATTAGGTATCATTTCTACAGAAATCATCTTGTTTTATGCTATTAGTTTGCACCTTTATTTTCTCAAAACGTTATATCTAAAACAGAGCTACAGCTTATAACAAATTTCAAGTTATTTATTATATTGATAAAACAAATAAAACCTGTATTTCAAATATATTTCTGCTTTTAAAGGGAAAATAACTATTATTGTTATTAACTGTTCAAGAGATTGAAATTTCTCTTGCAGACTCAACAGTGCTTTGTAGTTTATGCATAAAATAAGAGACAATTCCACTGCCTATTACTCTGTACCAATGCCTGTTAAGTTCATACTACAGCTCAATGGATGGAAAACTAGCCCAAGAAACAAAAATCCCTGGGCTACAGGTACCTTGCTCTGACTTTGGACAGACAAGGGACCTATCTCAGTCTCTATCTCAGAAACAGAGGTGAGAATGACTACTTCTGGAAGTCACTGCCTTTTCCACAGCTTTGTATTTTATCTCATTTGAAATGCACAAAATATCTGTTATTTTCATTTTTTTAAGAGTGTCCTGGATTTTGAAASGGATGGTTAAAACTAGCCATGGATGATAATACATTTGCTTGAGTGCTAGCAACTATTCTAGCATTTGACTTACTCAGCATAACCATTTCTTCAATGAAATTATACAGCATGACTGGAAAGGAGGAGATTTCTTCAAATGAGACATAAAAGTGGAGCCTTATCTATGCARGCTGATATTCTAAAGGTTTTGAAGTTTACTACTGTGGAATAGCATAACAAACAGTGTCATATACTGTAAATTAACAAACTATTTGGCCTAACATGTTTTCTTTTATATTATTTGATCCATACCTCTGGACAAGGCTCCACATGACAGTCTTTGATAGAGCAATGGCCATCATCAGCCCAGAATGGGCAAGGTCTCTTTAGATTGACCTGAAGATTTAAAGACACACAAAAAAATTACAATTAATACTAACTTTAAAACAGACAGCTGCCAGTACCAAGGAATGCGTTCAAACTAAAGGAAAAGACATGAAGAAAAGAGGTTAGATGTAATACTTTATTTTTCGAGCGCTCTCTCACTGAATATTTTAGCTGAAGCTTGTAGCAGTAAAACTATGACAAAAGCATTGTTGAGAAAAAGCATATATCTTAAAGCACAAACTAAATCTCAGACCATTAATATAACTGTTGAATGCAGWAACTAAACTGTAAGAATGAACACTGATTCAGACACATGCAGCTATAAAATGATCTTAGTCATATTTGTAATACAAATAATGAAGAGAAAACACTTCAGAAACACTACCTGCAAATCCCATGATGCTTTCTAGCCAACGTTTCTATCTAGCTAACACTTCTATCTAAATGGCACAATAAAGGCAGGGTACCACATATACCAGCATCTACTAGACGGCAAGAGAGTTGAACATTTTTTCACTATATTTCACGTGAATTGTATATTTGAAAAGGTCAGTGAACAAAATTGTACATAATATGTATTGTAATATATAGCTGCCAAATTGATATACAGATAGATACACATAATCAGTTTGGCAACTTTCAGAGTAATGGTAAAGCTACCGCTATTCTTTGCTTTCCTTTAGCACACTTTGTACTAGTTCCCTTCAGCTGATAAATACTATTCATGAAAACATTCATCTGAAGTTTCTACCTACATTCAATAACTTACATCCCGAGTGCTTTGAGGTAGGTATCACTTCATATTTGAAACTGTTGCATATACAGGATTTGATACTGCAGCCAAATTCTGCAAGTTCTATAAAATACACTGTAAAATTAAGCCTATTATCAAAGCTGACTAGGCCCTAGAGCTGTTTCAACACAGGGATTTAAGTATCATAAATGTAATTATAAAAAAAAGTCTATAMATCTTAAGCAATTACCAGCATACAAAAAGCATATAGCTCAAAAAATAAAGGATCTATTTATTACAAATCAAGCTGACAGTTAGTTTTAAATGCCAGGACTTTAAAGAGACCTTAGAAGTCACAGGACTGCCCAGAAGCTACAAGTATTCTTTGAAGACGGGGAAAATAACGTTGGTCCCCATCCTCTTAACGCAGTTAATCAAATTTGCTTATTAGAAAGAACTTTGACCTTTCGAAGAGGCATATATCTATATGTTACCTTCCATCCGTAGAACCTATCCAACTTCTTATTGAATCTCCATCCTTGGAGACATTCAAAAAAAATTAACTGGTAAGATCCTGGGCAGCCTGCTCTAGCTGACCCTGCTTTGAGCAGGGGCATGGGACTAGATGATCTGCAAAAGTCCTTGTGGATCTACGATCCAGCAGTTCTCCTGTTTTCGAACAAAAAAACTCAGGGCAGTTCTAATCATCTTTTGAAAAGCCTTAAAGAACAGTCATACTTCATATCATAACAGTAATGGAAAAAAAGGAAGGAATCAAAGCTTAAAMTCCACTTTCCACAATACTCCTTTCTCATAACTTAATTTTCCTCTTATAATGAAATAAAAATAAAAAAGTTCAATATCTGCTTAAAAAAATACAAATACGTCATAAAACAACACAGGTCAGAATGGTTTCAGTTCAACGGGCAGTTACAGCACCTGCTAAACCTGYAGTTACAGCAGCCAGGTCCTTTACATCAGAACTTCAACATGTGGTTTTGCAGTGATTTATTCTGCTGTGACAGATTCTCCCCACCAAGCAAATACCATATTATCCCTTTGCGATATGGGTCACATCTGCATCCCTGGGTCTAATCTACAAAACACAGTATTAGGCTTGTTGGACTGTGAGGAATGGAAAGRCAAACACTGATCTAGCAGACTTTAATCCATCAGCGTGCTCTGAACATGTTTTACTGGCAGGGTGCATTCATACCAGGTCAGCAACTTGCTTTAAGGAGCCTCTTTTTTCTCCTTCCCTTTTTCCCCCCCTCCCCACCCCCACTTTCCTTTTCAGTACTGTATTACCATAGATTTAGACAAATTTGAAGAACTCGAGAGGCATTATAGTCAGATTTTACTCTCCCCCCCAGTGCTTTTCTTTTTTTGACAGCTAAAGAGAATCAAAGCTACACACCAGAAAAAGATTTCAAGACTGAAGGGTATATTCTTGTGGCACTATTTACCAACCTAGCACAAATAAACATTWAAAAATCCCAAATTCTTTAGACATTCTATGAGTATTTCTAAGGAGGGACCATCACTTACCCCATATTTTATGTCAACTAGTCTTTGCCACTCTATGTTTTCAAAATACAGAATGAGGTGCTTCTYTTTTAAAGGAGTTGGAAGTATTTAGCATCTTTTTTATTCTAATATAAGAAATTAACTTTACAGAGTTAATTTTGTATGGATTTTTTTGTGTAAAAATGTGGAATCAAAAAAAAATACTCAGCAGATTGCATAACTTCTAAGAAATTACAACTATCTTCCAGTTACATGCTAGCACAGATTTTTTTAAAGGACAAGATTTTAGGCTGCTTTCCCTCCTCCCCTTCATTTCCTCCATTAATTTTAGAAATACCATTGCTGGAAAAAGAAAATGCAAAATTTCAGATTTTTTTTTTCTTCTTCCTACTTATCAAATAAAGCACAGAAAACTGCTACCTTATGCATCACCACCACTACCAAAATCAGATCAGAACTAAGAAATATATGAAGGCAGGTCCTCCAACACTAGTTTCTACACAACAGAGAAGGGCGGGGAGGAGAAAAAAGAAAAAAAGAAAAAAAAAAGACCAACTATCATAGGTAAGGCGATAAGCTTCTTCAAAATCCATCCCTAATACTACAAATACCCACATACTTTGGAATAGGCAAGGGTCAAGTCACTAGGAATCTCTCTGCTTATACGGAGAAGCACTTTTATATAAAATACTACTACTATTTAAACTGTAGATTAATCCAGGAACATCTGAATATGAAGATCTACTAGTCTCATAATCCCATAATGACTCAACAGCACTAAAATATTGCATATGCCTTTGCAAGTCAAACTGAGGTTATACAGTACACATGCTTTAATCGATAAACAAAATAGCTTTTATTTTCTTCAGGGGCCAAAGTACTAGACTTTACTGTTCACAATATTATTCACTATTGCCACAGAATAACTGTTAGTTTTGTTATCAAAGAATCACRGAACAATTGAGGTTGGAAGGAACCTCTAGCGGTTATCGAGTTCAACCCCCTGCTCAAGCAGGGTCACCTAGAGCACATTAAACTCTAAATTAAAGAGCACTAAGAGCATTAAAGAGCACACTAAACTCTACCTAGAACACATTACACATTATACAAACACAAAATATGGGAGCCTAATGATAAAGACTGCAGAACATTACACTGAGACAAAATTATTCCTTTCTTACTTCACTGAATAACAAAAAAACTAGCACAAACTAAGCAAACTAGCCAGCCCATTAAACTTWGCAGATTAAAGTTTGAGTCCTTCTATAGCTGCTGAAATAGTAAGACGGTGGAAATAGTGCAACTATCAGATTCAGTGATCCAAATTCCTGCTACAACTTACTTGAGAATAGGCAAGTTTTCACTCCCCAAGTCAGTATACTGCCCCTACCTGTATGTTCTACATCAATTACAGGGTAGCCGAATACATAAGTACTGCATACTCTCACAATTTTCTTATTCACCTATGTGACCTTGGGTGAGTTTGCGCAGAGATACCAAAAACTCCACTCCTTTTGCAACAAGGAAAGGACAGAAAAGCTCTGCTAGTTTCTGCAGCCCATTTGCTTGTTCAAAACATTCTCCTCCGCCACAAATGAAAGTTCATAATTACTGTGTGCGGATGAAGATGACTGTACAACAGCATATGTAACTGTACGTCAATTGTAAAGGTCAGTCACCAAAAAAAAAAAAAAAAAAAAGCTTAAATGGCTGGCCAGTCTCCCAACTCTGTTGAAACACTACACCTGGTTTGCCCGGTTCAGTGTCAGCCAAAAGAATACACCTATCCACTGCAAAAACTTATCAGTAATTTGGACAGATTCCAATCTGAATATAAGTATCATTCAGGTGTTAATCGATATGGTCTGCAATGTATGTGAATTCTAAGCATGGATGCTTATGCTAAGGTATCCAAACAGTATAGCTGGTGAGACAAAAACTCTATGAAAGAGGAGGTAGGATTATACTCAGAGGCTATTAAAGTAGAAACTGCAGAAATATGAGTTTTTGAAATGAAAATTTTACCCTCCCCTAAATCCGCAAGATAAAAACACTGATGAATATCTTGTATAAAACCTTGTAACCCTGTTACTCCCCCTCCTCATATATTTTGTTTTACATCTTCTTGGTGCCTCTGGAGAACCTAATTACTGCTACTACCTGATATGTTCCCATTGAAGATGAACATATCTTGTTTCTCCTGAACACCAATGTTGTAACTTCACGCCTAACCTCCTCCCGCTACATGATACAGTTCTATGTTACTAGTTGCTCATACTGCAAAGCAAAGACTCTAGCAGGGTCTTGGCTTCCTCTCATACATAACCCCATCTTCCATAAATTCTGGTATTTGCCCAATTCCAATTCAGCCAGACAATTTGTTGCATCCTGAAAAACAAACAAAAAAGTTTTCTCCCAGGTTACTGAGTGGCCCTGGCCTACTGCACAGCTAGACAGGTCCCAGAAGTAAAAGCAGTGAAGGGGCAGGATGGTCTGCCCAGGAGTGGAACATCATCTCTCCTGTAGCCAAGAGCCATTTGATTAGCTGAGTCAAAATGTAACCTTTATTTCCCTTGAAGCACATCTGAAAAAAGTAGAGCAATACCAAGCTCTAAAGCCCTATAGTCATCAKGAAATTCTAATACAGAGAAAAAACAACACTTCAGATTATTATAGAACAGTATATAATATTTGAAAATTAATTTCAAAGGAATAAAGGTTCTYTACAGAGCAAAAACAAAAACAAAGATAGTAACTGATAAGAAAAGTAAATCAAAATATTTCAAAAGCACATTATATGCRTTAGTCAGAAGACAAATGTTTCAAGGTATCAAAGTGTCTAACAAAGTCCTTTCCCACATGCAGCTGTTCAAAGATACCACCTTTAAAACTACCCTATCTCATTTGAATGAGAATAGTCATGATTCACTGTCACTGGCCACAGGATTAACATAGAAAACACAGGATTTATGACCAACATAATTGTCAGAGACTGAAAATCGGCTATGATCAAGTTAGACAGCTGCTGACTTCTAAAAGAGAACTTAATGCAGGTCAATTTGATTTAATCTGTAATCCTCCCTATATTTTCTGCATTTTATTTAAATTATACAGGGAAATGTCACTCTAATTTTACCTTGTAATATCTGAAGTAATCACGCTCTTGCAGTTTTTGTATTTTTGGGAAGATCTTGAAAGTATTGAAGTCATCGATGCTTTCTATGTCGCATAAGCAGTCATCTAGGACTCCTGTGAGCTATTAGAAAAATATATCATATTGAGGTTAAAATCACATTTCTTGATTAAAACACCAAAAACCAAAAATCCCCTAGGAAAGAAAAAAAAATCAAAAGAAATAATAGTGAGATACAATTTCTTTCCAAATGAGTTGTTTCTCATCATTAAAATACTCTGCAACTAACATTACACTTTACATTCACATGATACATATCCACAATTAGAAAATAAGATTGTCACATTTTCTTGAGCCTATATCCACTTCAGAGTGCAATACTGAATCAGAGATCAACAGTTTTAGCCCTCAAATTTGTTCTTGGGCAGATCCAGATTCTGCAGAACAAGTGGCAAGATTCTCTCAACTATGARGACTATGAGATCAGTGCAGACAGCTGTGCACAGAGAACATCCCACCAAATGCTCATTGGCTTACTAGCAAACTCTCTAAAGCAGCACAATGATGCATGGTCATCCTAATCTCCTACTCCTTCTCAAAGTTTAAGAAAAGTTCAGTTCACTTCTTTAGAGGCATGTGAAAACAGGATATTTATTTTTTCAACACCAAGTTAATACCCTCACAACTAAATTCTACCAGTAAATATTAGGAAAACAAGCTGTAGGCACACCAATATTGTAAGGCTGACAATCTTTTTAAGGTGCTGTGAAACTACATCTGAGCCGTGGAAACCCCATCCTTTCCCCTGTAGCAGTACATCATGCTAGTTCAAAGAACCGCCCATGCTTAAGACTACAGCTACTGAAACAAGTGCAGAAGAGCAACTGCCAGCACAGGAAACAGAGCTTTACAAGTGTGYGGAGATGTCAGACCCAACCTGCATAAGCCTGAGAGAAAGAGAGACTCAACAGGATGTCACAGATCTGCAGATTAAACATCATGGATGGCAATGAGGTCAAACTCATTTAAGAAAAGTAACTTTACCCAAACTGTTCCATGCTATTATGCTTGCTATCAATAACACTGTTTAACTTCAAACCTGGACAAACATCTAGGAAGGTGACTGCTCACTGAAAGGTTTACCACAAAAGTCAAGAAAGTTCACCATCTGCAGAAAGTGCCAAATTCAAAGTCAGAAGGCAAAAGTTTCAAATTCTTGTAACTTCCAAAAATAAAATACTTCCAGGGAAAAAAAAAATCAAGGAAGATTTTATGTAGAAAGTTCAAACTTTCTTATTAGTCATAAACAGGCAGAAATTAGTTTTGTCATCTTSACACATAGCACTTCAGCATATACATGTCCACACACAAACTATTACCGAATAAAAACCACAAAAAGATAACTATGAACAAATTGCTCAAACTGGATAAATTATATGTGAAGATAGAATTCATTAGCCTGAGAGTGGTAAAAAACTGGATGCAGAAAATAGAGTAGGAAATTATTTTGATGACCATCTCATGAAGCTATCCACCACTTTGAAAAACATTTTGACAACATCTATGCAAAGCTGAAACGGGAGTTCAGGGGAAAACCTTGCAAACAAACATGCAGTAGTTAAAAACAGTGCCAAAACTCCGTGAGAAAATAAAAAGCTGTAGCTGCTTTATTTAACTAAGATCACAAACTAATGAAAGTTGCACCTTGGCCAGATGTTTCTCATAAAACTTTGATTCTAGGAAACCTTCAAAATGTACTGTAGCTTTTTCAGAAGATCATAAAATGCCCAAAACAAACCCTCTCTCAAAACTAAAAGAGATCCAAGAAATCTTAAAGAGGAAAAATAGAGTAATAAGGGTAAGCAAAGGAAGTTCCTAGTTTCTTGCACTTCAACAGAGAAGCAGTTAGTTTCAACGGCAAAAAATGTTTCTTTTTAAAGTGCAATAACAACAACATTATTTCTGTATGTAAGCACAATACATAAAAGGTTTTGGTAACACAAATGAAATGCCAGTCTGACCAACAGCTCAGTCAGGTCACATACAGGTTCACAGAGTTCAAGCACTCCCGTTACACATATTTTATTGTAATCCCCAATGTATTTTCAGTAGTTCACCAAAGTGCTTTTATGAATTGCCACACCAAGCTCAGCCCTTTGTTAGATACCAGGGCTGCACTGAAGGTGTTAAACCTCTAACCTATCTTCTCCAAATTAAATCAAACTTTTATTACAAAAGATTGATATCAAGCATGCATCAATTCCCCTTTATGAAAGGAAGGAGGCAGGGAAGCTTACTATACAGTACACAGCACTTTAATGCTGAATATCACACACACACGAACACTGAATAAATGCATAGATTGATTTGTATCAATAACCTTATTAGTGCTGTCATGTTGTTGTATATTGATTGCTTCAGTATCTTCTCATTAGAAGAGCACCCAGGTCACCTCGGTTGGTTCCTCCACGGTTTTACTTTGTAATAGTTGCAGAATGATAGAAAAGGCACCTGAGAACTAATGGCTAACTGTTTTTTTCCCCTCTGTGCAAATCAGACAGCAGTTTAAACACTGAACACAATCTATTAATTTTATGAAAGGGCAACAATGAATCTCAGTGCTCCCAAGAAAATCACATGACAGTTTGCTGATGAGTCCATTAAGAATCGCCCCTAAATGCATGGTATATCAACATATATACAGCATACGTTATGCTTATATACATATACACACATCATAAATTTATTATATACTAATATATAAGGGTTTTTTTTAAAGAAGAAAAATTTGAAAACATGAAGTTATAGCAGAAAGATACTGCAATAAAAGCTACCTATACTAGCCTATACACTGTCTTGGGTAGTCACTTAAAATATGACAGGTCGCTATACAAAGCAGTTTTATATGTATAAGAGAAAACAACCAGAAACACAAGACACTTCGTGGCACGTGGGTCCTATTCCACATTTTCACACAAACTCACTCCAAAGCCTTCGGCTCGGCTAAAATCCTTCTCCCCTTGACACCTGCTCTTGTTACGCGGCAGCGCTGGCTCTCGCGCACACGAGGCTCCCGCCTAGAGGGGCTCGTCCCGCTGCTGCGGCCACAACTTCCAGAGGGCAGGCGCGTTCCTTCCCTTCCTGCCGCACGGGCTCGGCCTGAGCCCACGCCGCGCGCGGCGGCCCTGCCCGGGCACCGACACCGGCACACGCGGCCACCGGCTTTGTGCGGCCACCAGAGTTCCTGCCTGAAGGCCAGCGGCGCGATGCGCCCGCGCTCCCGAGCCCTCCCCGCGCAGCGAGCCCCGCGGGGCCACGCAACCACCCGGTGCAGCCGAACCGTTATGTAAGGGCGGCACCGGCGGCAGCTCCGGCGCCGCCTCTGCTCTCCCCACGGCGGGGCCTCGCGCCGGAGGCACCGGGCGCCCGGCCCCCTCCACACTCAGCTGCCCTCGGGAGGCGCCCGCCGCCCCGCGCTCGGCTCCCACCTGGGCCTCCGCCGTGAGGACGCAGCTGAGCAGGGCCAGCAGCCGCGTCGCCAGCGGCCGCGTCCCCGCCGCGGGGCTCCGGGCGGCGCCACCGCTGCCGCTCATGCTGCTCCCGCCGCGGATGGGCTGGGGGGGCCCTCGCCCCGCTGCGCAGCGGCCGCCGCCGCAGGAAGCACCCGGGCGGGGCGAGGGCCGGCGGTGGCAGYGGCTCCTGCCCGCGATGGGAGCTGTCGGGCGGGGGCGCCTCGCTCGCCCCGACCCGCCCGCGCGCCGCCACCGCCGCGGCACCGACGAGCGAGGAGCGCGCGCCGTCCTCTCGCGCAGCAACCGCCACCCAACCGCTCTCCCGCCGCGCGGCATGCCGGGAAGTGTAGTCCGCTGCGAGGCCAGTACTACGGCGGGGAGGGCCCGGCGCGATGCGGCACCCAATGGAAGAGCATCACCCCGCCGCGACGTCCAATGGGAGAGCACCGCCCCGCCGCGGCGTCCAATGAGAGAGAACCACGCGCGCTTCCAAAACAAGTAGCGAGTGAACGGCCGCCCCGCGCGGTGGCGGTTGCCGGCGTTGCCCGCGCGCYGCGACGTGACGGGGAGGCGCGAGCGGCCGGGATGGCGGCGGCGGCAGCAGGCGCCGGTCCCGGGGGTGCCCGAGCCGTGCGCGACGTGGTGGTGCGAGGCAGAGGCGCTGCCCCGCGCGGGGGGAGCCGCCAAGTTCCCATGTGCAGTGCTTGTCAGGTCCCCGGCGCCGCCACCGGCCGCCCCCCGGTTAAATAATTCGTTTCTTTCAGCAGTTTGTTTAATGGGAAGTCAGCTGTAGAGACAGCACAGCTTTGAAAAAATGCAGGACGCACACGATGATAGGAAATATGTCTCAGCTTTGTCTGGTTTTCACTTTATCTGCTCCCCTTGAGACTGAGGCTGAAAGTTAATAAAAAAGCTGCCTCCATCCCCTGCTCTCTCCCCCCCCCCCCCCCCCCCCGGCCTTATTAAGCCCATATATTTTATCTCAGTGTAGGTAGAGGCTAATATGCAGCAAATTGAAGCCTGTAGACAAGAAGGAAGTGCTTGCATGGTAGCTAAGCTAGTGAAATACTGAGTTACTGAGAAAAGCAGCAGGCCTGATCCTCGCCTTGCACCTCCTTGGGTACGACTTGAAACTCAGGCAGCTCCATCTCCACATGTGGAAGAACTTCTTTCCTGTGAGGGTGACAGAGCCCTGGCACAGGCTGCCCAGGGAGGCTGTGGAGTCTCCTTCATTGGAGGTCTTCAAAACCCTCCTGGATGCCRCCCTGTGCCACATGCTCGGGGTGTCCCTGCTGGAGCAGGGGTGTTGGACTAGATGGTCTCTAGAGGTCCCTCCCAACCGCAGCCATTCTGAGAGTCTGCATGTCCCTCATCCCGTGCGTCTGAGCAACCCTGCAGGTGCACGTGCTGTTTCAGACGCCTGTTTTGTTTGTTTGCTCCCAGGGATCATTTTGTGCTGGAGCACCTGATCTGACTCACTCTGTAGCTGCTTCATCACTGGATCTGATCCAAGGGAAATGGCAGGAAGAACAAGTGAGGGTAGGACCATCCCTTCCAGTGGCTGCTTGCCATTACGGGAATTTTGCTGCACATTTCATTTCTTTCTTATCAGTTTTCAGTAATTACTGATTACTTAGGGAGATGGGTTAGCTGTTGACAGGTTGAAAGTTACTATGCTACATCAACTGAATTTGTCTAGCTTTGCTTTCCAGGTCCTTTGAAAATGCTAAAGAAACAGCTTCAAAACAGTACTTGTTCCTGGCAGCTAGGCACATGGTTGTAGTTCTCTCCCAGAAGTTCGCATGTCTTGTGTGAAAGCATTAGTGTTGCACTGATTTCCTGCACAGAGTTGCTGGAATAACGATTCTTTTTCCGTCCATCTACCAGCACCAATCCTTCTGATACCYCCCTTTACTGGAGCACGGAGACAAGCTTCACAGTCATGGCAGCTATTTCTCTTAGCTTAAAATATTTTAGATTGGCAATTTTTATCTGCTTCCAAATTCATTCAAATGAGTTTTACATTTTCTTCATCCCAAAGTGTTAGAATGTCATGTGTTTTTGCTGAAAATGTCTTGAAAAGATGAGGTTTTGAAAGCCATGAGTCCATGCAACAGAGCAGCTTTGTATTTGATCCCATAGGAAAAAAAAATGCTCTTTCCTCTCTGGAGTATAAGCAGCAGACATATCATTTGGAAACAAGAATTAAATCACAATCTATCCATACTTGCAGCTTCAGAGGACCAATGCCTTTACTAGAGACCTGAGAAGAAATAAAAAATGTCAAAACATCTAGTGCTAATATTAGCATTGCCATAGCTGGCTTTCACTGTCATTACTCCATAYTTTATTGTGAGTGGTTTCTACCGAAGTTACTGTTTCTGTTGGCAGATTCAGATGAGTTCACTGTATTTAATTTCATTTTATAGCTTTGATTTTTGAACAAATTTTCAATAATGATCACRTACATACATATATATATAAACTTATCTATAATAAGCACCTGTACTGCCACCCACTTGCACTGCATATAAAACTAAGATTAGTTCATGCAAATTAGATGTAAACCATCATATTTCCCAAGTTACAAGGTTCACTCAGCTGTCAAATCAGAACATTTTATGTTAGTTATGGAGAGTACTTTATATCTTCACCTCAGACAGAATCTAATCTCACTTGCATTGCAAAGCAATCGCAGGTTTGTTTCTGACTACAGTGACAGCAGCATATGGATTTGGCTGTAGAAATATATAACGATTAATTTTAAAAARCAAATAATGAAATTAATTTTCTATATACACATGTATATAGACCTGAATTTTGATCAATACTGTTTTTAAATTCTGCCATATCCTTCAACTTATTTTGTTTAACCATTGATTTCAGTCTAGGAATGCTATTTTGCCAGTGGTGTAAAAGAGAAAAAAATATAGATCCTAATGTAGGCATTGTCTCTGTGAAATCAATTTTAGGAAATCCTTGCAGAAGAAACAGTCTTACGATTGCAAACAAACCTTAACAGCAGTTTTTGAAAGGTGGRAGTATCTAATAAGCCTGTTTCTCTCAAAGAAACTTTCCATGATGTAATAGTATTTTTGCTGGGCCTGAGGACTAGAGGAATGGTCATGTCTTCTGTCTAAATAGTTTACAGCAGGCTGGGTTCATGAAAGCAACCTGGCATATATATTTGATTTTCCAATGTACATGCATGTAGCATAAGAACAAAATTTTTTTCTCAAGTGATGTCATAATATGAATTGTCAAAAATCTTACCAGTTTTGTTTGGAAGCTCAGACATTTTCTTTCTATCTGCAAGTGAAGAAAGCCCTGAACACAGGGCAACTGGAATAAAGCCCTGAACACAGAGCAACTGGAATTATTTTTCTGAACTAGTAAACAAGCCAAGCACTAAATAATCCACGTCAAAGTTACCTTGTCTCCATCATAACGTTATTCCCTAAAAGGGATGGAGATCTGGACGCACAGTGACAGCCATTTCGACTTGCAATTGCTTGGACCCCTGGCCAAATTTGCCTTTACTCTGTAGAGAGAGCAGAGTAGGAACTGAACCTGCTAAGTCTTGTATTAGCTCCATTAGCTCCCTTATAGGCAGCCTTTATTTGCTAGAATCCAGCTCTTAAACTCTGACTATACATACATACTATACATGCAATTAAGACCCTGTGGTCAGCAGCCATATAAAAAGATATCTTAGAAATTGTTACAGATGAATTCAAGCAACCAATCAAGCAAAACATAAATGGGTGGCTTCACAAATTTCACTTCAGGAGAAGCCTGGTAAATCACAACTGCCTTGCCAATTTCATGAGCTAGATTTCAGTAATCTCAGATGTGGATTTCTGGAAAATTTTTGCCCTTGAAACGTTTGCCTTTATTTATTTTTCCAAATTAACATTTGAATGACTTCTTTCTAAAGTTAGCAGAGTAAACCTAGGAATCAATATGCCACAARTTGCTCTTCAGGTCTGGCAAACAGCAGCTGTGGGAACGCAGCATCTGTTGAGCAATGGAACATCCTGTGGTAGYGGTGACGGTCTGGGGTGCAGCAGGGGACAGCTGGAGGCTGAGGTAACAACCTTCACTCGATCAACTGATGACATATACACAGAAATGCAGACAAGTTCTGGAGCACCTGAGTTCTGTGATTTGTCAGGCTTCTTAAGTTGAAGAAATTGCAAACCCAGAAACTTGCCTGTTTTTTCCACAGTCCTATTAAAAGTTACTGGGTTTCGTTGCAAGTTTTGCTTTTTATCATGTGATGTTCYCACCTGCTTAAAACTACCATATACTCTCCAGATTGAGGCAGCTGTTAAAACTAACTTCTATAAGATATCTATGAGTGTTTAGCCATTCAGACATATAAAGTGTGGCTTGTAAATGTAAAGACAACAGGTCAAATTCATCACAATAAAAAAAAGGAAAAAATAATATGAAAATTGCATACAGCAATATATTCACAACAAATAAAAACAACAAATATAAAAGATGGAATACAGTAAAAATAAGAATAGCAAAGTACAAAGTGGCAGTACTTAAGAATAACAAAGTACAAAGTGGGAATACTTAAAAGAAAATTGTGGGTGGTGAAAAATCAGTTACCAATTTCAGATGTAATTTCTATATCTTGTATGTGTGTTATTGCTGAATATCAACAAACTGCACTGTGTAGCCTATGACTGCAGCTCCCATTCTAATATTAGAGTACTAGAGTATTAGAACAAAAATAGTCTCKGATCGTCTTATTGTGGTCCCCTTACTACCTATGCGTTTTGAAGAAATAATAACAAAGAAATTACTTTAACTTCCAAACTAAACTTCTAAATATAGCRGACTAATATTCTGGTTTCCAAAAGACTCAAGATTTATTCATTTGCACCCTGTGTGTCTGTGCTAATCTGACAACAAACTTTGTGGTGAGATAGAGGTCTTAACTAAGTGGTTGCATGACTTATGAAAACAAGCAGCCAGGCAGGGACACCCACTAATGCTCCCACGGAAGGATGAACTACAGCCTGAAGCCAAACATATTAGGCTCAATTGCAATATGCCAATCCAGATAAAGTAAAATTTTACTGTTTCTTGGCTCATGGAGCTTCTTGCTTGATTTTGACACAGCTCCGTCACTGAGTGTTGGGAACACAGTGCACAGACTTATGTGGGATGGTCTAGGTATGTATCATTTCTTGTRTTTTTAAGAAATTTCAATTTATTTTCAAATAAGTGTCTAAACATGACACTCCTGTAAAGGTGTAAAAGTACAAACCAACATAATTATCAGCAAAGAAAGCAATTTAAATTTTAAGCTTCTGGTTAATTATTCCTACACCAGGGTTTTGAAGAACTGGTCTAACAACATACTGAAGCTRCCAGCAGTTGAAAGCTATAGAGGGATATCTGAGGGAGAAATATAGGGACGAATCTTCGGACTCCTCTGAAATACATCAGCAAGCAAGGGTTGATTTTGAAACAATGAAGTATTTTYCTGATTAAAAACGTACTTTCTTAAACAAAGATGTTCAAAACGTGTATAGCAAAAGAATGAGGAAGAGAAAAACAAGGTTTTTAAATGATGCTGGCAGGCCCTCAGTTACCATGATTATCAGCAGCCCCTGCCTGTGAGGGGAAGACTGTTCTGCCAAGTTAATCAAAGTATCATTCGTGATGTGGAATGGCTCTTCTTTATTTCCCTGGGGAAAAAAAAAAGGAAAAAACCCTTAGATGATCAGATAGAATAATACTTAATRCCATTTTGTGGAGAGTTAGCAGTAATATTTTGCTGGACAAAACTATGTTGTCCATGGGTGATAAAAAGGTCCAATTTGCAGCCCTTTTGTTCAGATGCTGCGGAAGCACTTTCCCGACTGTGGGTCAATTGTTAGTTCAAACAATGAAGTAACTGGCCATGTATTCCCAGATAATTTGTAGCTCTCTGGGAAATCTGGGAACTGTCTCTGTGCTGAAAGGTAGGGCTTTTTTTTTTTTTTTTTTTTTTTTTTTTTTTTTCCTGGATGGGGTCAGGGAGATGGTACGAGGCCTTTTTTTTTTTTTTTTTTTTTTTTTTTTCCTGGATGGGGTCAGGGAGATGGTACAAGATGAGGCCTTGTTTTTTTATTTTTTTTATGTTTTTTGAAAACATTTGGTTTGGATTCAAGTATCAATCTACACAATCCTAACCTCAAATTTATCATCAGTTAACACTGAATTAGCTGCTTGCAGGATTGTGACAATATATGATCTAAATTGCACTTAAGTGTAGAAATTTGACTAGAGAGTTGATATATTGTTTTAGAAAATTTCACTATTTAAATTTATCTAGTTCTGATATGTAGTTTTTATGATAAAATATAATTAGTTTAGTCAAAATATTTGCTGTGTTTCTTGACTGGTCAGTTAAGGAAGTAACAAACTTGACTTCTGTATTTGTCATTAAWGTATATACAAGAGCAGGCATGTAAAAGGCAAATGTTGATATTTGCATGTAATTGCCTAATCCTCCAATTAAGCACTAGGAATAAATTGTTAAATTATGATGACTAACCTACATTTTAAGCCAGTAATGTTATCTAGAGTATTGGTCCCTCTGTTTTTAAAGTCCATTATTTTAAAGGATACTCTAAGATTAATGTGTTAACAATTGGAAAAAAAAAGAAATTTAAAAACTAATGTGATTTACATACAAAATGTTATAAATACATGACATTTAACAGAATTAACAAGTTTCAGTTGCTGAATCCTAATGTAGGAAGATTTTAGAGTGTAAATTCTGGCTAGAGTAAATGTCACATTGATGATCAAACCCACCTTAGCTTCCAACACCAGTAACCTTGGGATATTCTAAAGAATCTTAATCAAGATCTTACAGATCATGTATCATATTTATCCAATATTTACATAGTCAGTAACTGTATCTATCTCTGAGGTTAAAACCTCAGTCTTCAAACAGTGCACAGAGGCAATGTTTACATGTAGGACCAGACAAGGGCAATTGTTTTATTGAGACATAAATTTAGCAGGCTGGAAATCCATAAAATTCTTAGCTCTACGATGACTTTATGACTCACTGCATTTACAGCAGATGCTGCAGTTACTAACTTCAGCATTTGTGCAGATCTGTGTTAGTAGGAATACATTTCCTTTTCCCTGGTTATCCATCATCAAAAACATTAGGGTTCTGTGTTTCCAGGGAAGCATATGGAATTAGCAAGTCTATTTCTAATTAGGCTCAAGGTCTAATTTTTACACTAAAGAAAGGTCTCCATTATTGGGAAGGAGTTTCAGTGATAATATGCTGATCTGTACCAGGAATAGCCTGACTCAGATTTATGTGCCTGGCAAAAATACTTCTCTGATTGTTTTTTTTTTTTTCTTTTTCTTTTTAGCCATTATGAATGACAGAAATATCAGTGACCTGGTAGCTGTACTGTGGAGATGACACTGTGTGTATGTGTGTAAGTGTGTAACTCAATGGCAAATTCTCCATTTCAGTAAAAAAAAAAAAAAAAAAAAAAAAAAAAAGGGCTATCTAGGAACGACAAACACTTGCATTCTAGATGGCGTGAAAAGCTGCATCACAGAATGAGCCATTGTAGTTGATCTAATCCTGAAAACAAGAGCAATTTAATGTTTATCAGTGACTTTTAGGTTTATAAACACCTGATACGGAAAATAGCTATGCAAAAAGCATGCAGTTTTTAATGCTTCATGGACCAAAGGCTGCTTTCAGTTACACTATAGTGTAATCAGTCCCCGAAACTAGCAACTGCACCCTGCAGCCAAGGAGGATTTGGCTATGGAGTGACCTTTTAAGGAAAGAGCACAGTGGGTAACACCTGCGGAATGCCCCACTAGCCTAACCTGGCAATGGGGGGCTCTTTTGGAGGCACCTGCAAGTTAAATAACAACGTGCGGTATTTCAAAACTGATATTTGAAAAATTATGATATTTTGAAACTGTTTAGAAACCGATTTCCTGTGTGGGCCCCCTGGAAAGAAAATAATAGTAATAAATCGCGTATTGCTTTGCACGTATTGAAGCCTCAACTCTGGTCGAGATGGGGCAGTGGGAAGGAGGAACTCGGGAAACGATGTGAAAAGATGTCCCCTTCACCGTGCTGCTGGAAATACCTCCAGCGTGGGAACGAACTTAAGATATCGCTAAAAATAAAATTTTAAAAGGAAAAAAAAAGGGGGGGGGGAGGGAGATGGGGAGCCCCGCCGCTCTGAAGCCCTTACGCCACACGGAGCCGCGACCTCCATCYTCAGGCGCGCCCGAACCGGCCCCGGGTCGGCGGCCGTTGGAGCGGCCGTTGGAGCGGCGGCCCCGCCCCGGCCCGCCGGCCCCGCCCGGCCCTACCTGTGGGCCGCGCCAGGAAGGGGGCGGTTGGCGGGTGTGGCAGTTGCGGCGGTTCCGGGCACGTCGGCGCCGCCGCCGCCTCGCGCGCCCTCCCGGCCGCCCCATGGCCGCCGCGCGGGAGCCGCCGCCGCCGCCAGGTGAGGAGGAGCGCGGCCCGGGCCGCGGTAGCTGCGCCCGCCCCCCCTTCCCCTCCGGTAGCTCGGCGCGCGGCGAGGTGGCGGTCTGCCCGGTGCCGCGGCTGGGCTGTGCGCGCCGGCGGCCTTCGGAGGCGCCTGTTTGTTCGTTTATCTGTGTGTCTGTTTTCATTCCCGACCTTAAGCGGCTAGGAGAGCAGTGCTCTCTGCCTTGCATGGCTCTTGGCACGTGGGAATCCGAGTCCTCGCCCTCAGGTGTGCCACGGTCTCTGTTCTTCTGCCTCTCTGCCCAGGCAGTGATAGGGTTTGAATAATTAGCAATAAGYAGAAAGAATTTCTGTTCTTCTTATTCCCTGCCCCAATCAGTGCTGGGGGCTTGGGTGCCTCGYCTGCACGTGAGACAGCCCCTCGGTGCAGGCCGAGTGGGGCCGAGGAAGGAGGCCCTGCCCCAAGGTAGGCCCTGCTCCTCRGAGCCTCCGTGTGGGAGCCTGGCGGCTCTTTGGGAGAAGAAGCCGCAAGAGGTAAATGCTGTAAATGCTGCCTATGCCCCGCGCCGTGTTGTGTTGGGAGCCCCCCCTGCTTGAAGGAAATGCGCCTGCCTTCCATCCTCCCTCCTGTGTGAGCGTGATGTGGCACTGGGAACTKGGAACGTGCACGGTGAGAGTGTAGAAACGGGTAGTGTTTGAGCACGCAAAACTGTGTTTTCATTTGGAGATAGACTGAGAGCTTTCCCTTCCTGCTGTTGAAATGAGCTGCMAAGTGTTTTGGGAGGCATATGTGGGAAAGAAAGCAGAGGTGTGGTAATTTAATTCCCTTCCTCGAAGTAATGCCAGCTATCAGTGTTCAGCAAGACCGTGAGGCCTCGTTCACAGCTGGTAAATGGGAGCTCARTGTTCAGGTGCGAATGTTCACCCACATTCATGCCACCTGCAGAAAATGTAAGCAGTTGTTAGAGCCCTGCAACACAAAATCTGGGCAAATTACTGTTCTTTATAAAGAGCTAGAACAAGAAGAAGAAATTGAGGTCTAGGGAAAGAAAATGAGTCTTTAAGTAAGAATTTACAAGATGAATACCAAGCAAGAGGTAGGTAAAGTCACTGATTCACAGTTCCTGTGGGAGACCTGGGAAGCAGGAATCAACACTACTGCCCTGTGCCCTGTTTCTGCTTGTGGGGTCACGGCGGGGACTGTCAGGAGCTTCCTCTGAATTCCGAGTGGCTCCCGCTTGCTCTGTGCTTCCCTCTGGACTGTGGGAAGTGCCAGTGTTGCCATGTGCCCTGGTTGCATCTTGCAGGTGTCACAGCAGGCAGAGGATAGAGCCTTTACCGTGGGGCTGCTTTGTGTGTCTTCATTAAGGTTCCCATACAGATTTTATATATATATATATATTTTTTTTCTCTCTCTCTCTCCCCAGAAAAGGATCTCTGCTGCTATAAAGTGTCTGAAATAAACTGATGTCAAATATTTAATATTTCTGTTAACTGGTTGGTATTTTGCTGAATGTAGATGTGTTGCTATATTTGGTCAGAGATGAATTAAAAACACGTGGGAAGTGGCCAAACAGTTCAAAAGAGCTACTCAGAGAATAACCAAAAGTTAATTCTGGCCAAGTATGGAGTTATTTTTGTGAGGTTAGATATTCCTTGCATTTGACTGCTGTTGAGTTAATCAGTGATTAACTATGTGTCACCTCCAGCCTGTGCCTCCCCCAGCCCTGTGTTTTCCCCAACAGTGGCTTCTCCTTTGCAGCTGTTTTTCAGGGCTATCTTTCCCCTCAAGTGATGGTGTAAGGCACAGGGTGTGAGACTTGTCTGTCAGGTGCACAGGATGTTTTTAAGAAGCTGGGGAAAGGAGCCTGTGCCTTTAGAGGATCCAGCCCCTGGGCCATCCTTCCTGCCTTTTTCCTATTCTCTCCTCATCCCCCTGCAAGCCAGAGCTCATCAGTGTCCTTTCCAGTAGCCTTAATTTCCCTTCCCCTGGTTTCCTCCTCAAGCTTTTCACCCTGTCTGACTCCCAGCTCTCCTGTTCCCTGTCCCTGATGGGGCTGGCATTGGCCTTCCCCTCGCTCATTTCTTGTCCAGCCAGCCCCTTTCACATCACTCACGTTTGTGTTCAGCACTGCTGCTTCTGTTTCATCAATTTCTAGTTCTGTTTTCGGGGTTGCTTTCTCAGCCTATTTGGAAAAACAATTTCTTTGGAAAATCAGGAAAATCCAGCTCCCCTTTCTTTATCCTTGGTCATTTTTTCAGCTGTTTTTCTAGCTCTTTTTTTCCCCTGGATCCGGTACGTGCTGTTTCTGCCTGTTTCCTTCACAGGTGGGTTAGGCAGTGGCGCGCTCTGCCCAAATTCACCTTCCAGTTCCTTCACACCTCCCGGGTATGTTCCCCACCTGCCGCCTTCTTTTTTTGGGCCTACTCTTCAGCAATTACTTCTCCTCACTTGTAGCCTTTCCTTGTGTCTCACTCTGTATTTGAGGTGAGTTTATGGTGGTTTTTACTGTCCCTTGCTGCCAGGGTGAGTTTTCTGCAGGATGTTCCGTTAATACCATGTTTCTTAAGTAAGGATTTAAGACGTACCAGGAAGGTCTCCTGTTAAAAGGATGCAGTTTTGTTTTGCTTTGGTGCAGTTGCTCTTCTGTCTGTGTGTTTTCAAACCCCGAACTGCAGTGGGAGCATGGAGGGATAATCCCCTCATACTTAGGCCAACCACTCGCTTTCGGTTGAGGCAGCAGGAGCATTAATGCGTTCTTAGAGCAAGTATGCGGACTTCTGCAATGAGAGGAACAAAATGCTAAGGCCCCTATGTCATTTGAAAGGCTTTTCATGGCTTTTAATAAAATAATACTTACCTGTAGAAGAGATCTGCCTTGCAGAAGTGTCATGAAGACATGAAATTTAAGGCAGGGTGCTGGCTTCTGTGTGAGTTTTGCTCCACATGCTCTATGATCTTGGTCAGTGTTGAGCTATGAGCCAGCCCTCAGTGCAGAGGGGACAACACTTGATGGAAAATCTTTCAAGATTTGTTGTCATATCCTTTTGATGTTAATACAAGTTTATGATTCTATTGTGCAAATAATGTTTACCTCAAGTATGTTTTTATTTTGTTTTGTACTGCAATGTGTTGTTTAATATTTTTGTTGCAGTGGGTATATTTACTGTTTAAATTATTGCTTTAAGGAAAAAAWGGAGTGCTGCTAGTTGGAGAAAAAATATCTTTAGATGATTTTCTGATTACATTCTTTGTGACTTTTCTTTTTAAAATATTTTTATTAAAAATTACTTAATTTTCATTTAATTTTTTTATTTATTGACTCAGAGTTGGATTTCCTTGTTGCATGCAGTTTCTCATCTGTCTAGCATCTCTGGCATTTTCTAGTTTATCCAGTTTTCTTGTGCAAATGAAACTTGACCTAATGCATATGCTGACTATGTAGTTGTGCATTATCTTGATCAGACAGAGGGGAATATGAGTTGCTGGATGGAAGTATCTTGAGGATTGTACAATGATAAAACTTTTCACTTCCAGCAGATCATGCAGCAAAAGAGCCAGTAGAGGATACAGATCCCAGCACGCTTTCCATAACCATGGTAGGTGTCTCTAACGCTTGCAGACTTTATAGCTCTCTACAGTCACATAATTCAGAATTGAGCTAAGATGTTCAATAATGTTATTAATCCAAACCATGCATATATGTCTCTCTCTATATTTCACTGTGCAACTGAAACTTAATTTACTAGCCTTCCACAGTTAACCTGGAAACAATGTTGCTGATGTACGTACATTTGCGGGATCCCATGCTATCAATCCATGGGTTAGATGGGAAGGAATCCTTGTTACATTATTACAGATTTTTTTTTTATGGTACCTTTTATTTATACATCAACACCATGTTTACTTGAGAGATTATTGTCCATCTAGCTAATTATTTACTCATTAACCACTTTTTTTTTAGATAATATTTAGAGAAAAGACTAGCGCAGAGCTTCTCCTGACTGCATGGGTTGGAGGGATAAGAAAACCACCTTAAAGCAGGACTTAAAATGTCAGTTGTGTTGAGTTATTGTTCYTTCCAGTAGCTATTTGCACTGATGGGGTCAGGTGGTAGGAGGCTGTAGCCAGAGCCAAGTGCCCTGCAACAGGCTGGGGGGGAACCCCAGTCAGCGAGGGAGCGGCCGGGGTCCTCCTGCCCTCCTGGCACACCCCGTATAACCAGTTCTTATGTCTTAGGGTGCTAAGCGTGCCAGTCTTACGCTGAGACAAGACGTCTATCAGGTAAATGGAGTATTATAACATTCTGCAAAGTCCTTTTAAGAATTTTTATTTGTAATGTTGCCGTGGGTTGTTTGCTCTACGGGAAAATAACAATGCTGTGCAGCCCAGACCTTAGACTATTGTCTAATGTAGTTATATAAACAAATGAAAAATGCATTGGTTTATTTAATGGGTAGCAAGTTAGCAAGCTGTCGCTTTCCCTTGATATTTTCTTCCCATTATGAAGTTTTGCAAAAGAGAGTCCACTGGTGTGTGTGTGTGGGGGGAGGGTGGAGAAAAACAGCATAGAAAATGTGCTAAGTCCTTTAAATGCTGATTTCCCCCAGGGATCCATTTTGCGGCCTGCCTGCATACGTTTGTGTTAGCAGGCTGTAATATAAAAGGTAGAAACTTTTATGATTGTTTCCATGGATTGCCTAAATTAAAACTGTGCTCATGCCTAAGGGAGCTTTTAAAAGGTGGAGAGAAGTTTTTGTACCTGTTCAAGAGAAACGAAACTTCCCATCCCCATGCACCCAACAAAGTGGGATCTTTAGCCTGCTTGGTAAGAGTGTCTGTGAAAGCCTGCCKTTGGCATAAGGTTGGGGTCATGGGGAAGGAGGTGGATGTCGAGGTCTAATAGCAAGTTATAACATGGATGCCTGGAAATCAGCACCTATCTCCTTAAGCTGCATAGTTTTCTTCTTCATCTTAATCAGCTCTGTAATTTCAAAGCAGAAAGGAAAATATTGTATCCTTCAGTGCAGTAACACTTTAATAAAGGTTTATCTGTGTTAAAAGAGCTTTTGAAATCATTTTTGTTCCTCTTGATATGMATTATCTTTTTAGATTGCTATCTTACTAGATAAATGCAAAGTTTCTTTACCAAGAAGTCTGTCTGCTTCCCTGTCCTCCCCACAAGTTGTTGCAGTGCAGCAGAGCAGCAAACTGTGTTACTGCTGAGCAGCCCACCACTTAAAATCCAGAAGTATTAATAAGTCGTGTCTCGCTTGCCACATCAGAAGCACTTTACTATATATATGATTGTAGACAGATCAACCCATAGCAATTCAAAAGATAAAAAATGTGCATAGTTAGAGTTGTGCACTCTTTCTCTAGCACAATTACAATGACAATAACAAAAACGTGTGTGTCTCCTTTCTGTTACAGACTGAAAAATACCCTGTCCAAGATACAGGAGCTCCTAAAGGTAAGCACTGTGGATGTGTGTGTTAGTTCAGGTGTCATAGATCTGTGTTGCTACATGCAGAACTGTTAGTGMGTTCCAACAAATTGAAGCACTTTTTGTTTTCCCCCTAGGTGTTTGTTTCAAATGTAGTGTCTCTGTATTTTAAGGTCAGTTTGGTGTACATAGCTTCTGAAATTTCCCAGCAGAGTTTAGTTTTGGTGCAGAAATCTTAACTAGCAATCAGCAGAAGATGTTGCTTCCTTACCTCGRAAGGAACATATGGTGGTGCCATCAAAAAGGAGAGTTCAGAGAGCAGATGATACAGACAYGATAATGTTAAAAGGTGACTTTGAAGAGGTTACCAGCGCCTTCAGGTTATCAGAAATATAATCCAGAAATACCTTCCAGGTCTCTTGCCTCTGATCGCGTTCCCAGCCCTGCAACCAGTTAACTCTTCATGCCGTTTCTTACTGCGGGCAGCTGTTAACAGCACGTAGCGAGGCCCTCTCTGCACAAGCCCCTGCCTCTGCCCACATGAGTGGGGTGAGCGTGGGGGGTGCAGCCGGGTTGGGTGCCGGGAAGGGGCCCCTCGCGGTGCCCACGGGCCTGTCCGCAGCCTGGGCCGTGCAGGGCAGGAGGGAAGCCCCTGGGAGGCTCCTGGAAGGGGTGAGCGTGGGGGGTGCAGCCGGGTTGGGTGCCGGGAAGGGGCCCCTCGCGGTGCCCACGGGCCTGTCCGCAGCCTGGGCCGTGCAGGGCAGGAGGGAAGCCCCTGGGAGGCTCCTGGAAGGATGGCAGAGCTCCAATGCCTGAAAGGCTAAGGGGCTGTTTGCGAGGGAGCCAGGCACAGAAAATGGGGAGACCCTGCCCAGCAGAGGAATAGCAAAGAGGCGAAGATGAAGTAGAAATCAYGAGGTGAAGACTAAGTAGAAATCACAAGCTGACTTCTGTTTACCTGCAGGCAGGTAGTTTATTCCCCCACAACTATTTACTAACACTGAAAGAGTTTCTGTATAACACTTTTATGTCTTTTTTGTATTTCACCCCTGACACTAGAGACCCCTCCAAATGGATTAGATGATTTCCAACTAGCTAATGTTTTTAAAGGCTGGAAATCTGACATCCCATGCTTTAAGTAATGTAATTGAAAAAGCAGAGCTGAGAAGAAGTAGAAATTTCAGCACTTTCTGTAGAAAGGAAACAGACTTGGTTTGTTTTTAATTTTATTTCTGCTTCCGCTTGCTACATGTGAAAAGATTCAAGTACTAATATAGCTTAGCACTTCCTCTTTAGAGTAAGAAGTGATGCAAGTACCTCTTTATGTTCTGTTCATTTCTGGATTTTTTTCTCGGACATAATTTTTAGAATTATTTCATTCCCTGTTGTGTGTTTTGAATTTTTGGATTGCCACTAGACAATTCCTTAGATGCTCTTTCAGTGTGCTCAAAAGAATGAATTTTATTTTCTTTAAGAACACAGACTTCTAAATATGAATCTGGGAGCTAAAAATGTTATGGGTCTGCAGGCCTATTTTATATAATATTAAATCTGAAGCAAACAAATTATATTCAAATATAAAGTACATAGGGCCTTTCTGTTTTGTTGTGTGTCTTTTGTTTGTTTGTTTTTAGTCAATTAGTTAATGGGCCRTTTTAAGACCTATCTTATTAAAGTTCCTAGCACCCTCTACTGATTAAGAATTGAAGCTGAACTGAGGGATTTTTCATCTTTCAGGAGTAGGCTTAATGTTTAACTCATGTTTTGAGTATAGTTCTATTTCCAGTCAAATCTGACACACAGTAAATTAAGTGGAGTTTGATAAATATAAATGACAGATTTATCTTGGTCTCTAAGGGGAAGGAAAAAAAAGATTTTTTTAGAAATAAGGTGAGCCTAATTTGCAGCAGAGTAGAAGTAAAAAATTAAACACTTGTGTAGTACATAATTCAATATTGATCTTTATAAGTGTGATGCAAAAAGCAAAGCAAAAAGAGCATTGTATGGGTTTGTGACCTTTTTCAGCCTATTTTGATTGTATGGTTAATTGGGCTTGGTAAATATTCCCTTGGTTCTACTCATGGTCGCCTTTATGAAAGAAGGACATGACTCTTGCATCAAAAATGTGTAGCAGTTGCTTTTCTGAAAAAGAAATGCAAGTTTTAAGAAGAAAATCCTCTGCAATTTTTTTTTGTTTTTATTCCAGTATTTCCTAGTGACTGATATGGAGTTAAATGTTGTGTTAGACATGGGTGAGGTATGTTTGACAGCCTTACTGTTTGCATTTGTGTTCAGATGGGAGACCAATATCTCACAATTTTTATCTTAGCCCAGGAGTACCTCACTGATCAAGTTACACTGGAAATTGCCTCTGTCAACATCAGGACTCTAACTTCAGATTCTGGCCTAGTCCAACAGGTAAGGAAAATTGTAGCTGAATTTAAACTAAGCTACTGCTGTTGATTAGCTCTGTTAACAAATGAATGCCTTTCAGATTGCTTCAGGAAAGCAAGGAATGTTTCAGTAGTAAAATAGACCAGAAAAAGGCCCTGTGCATCCCAGCTGCCATCCTTCCAACACTGCTTGCCAGATTTGTTGATTCTCTGTGGGTTGACAGAAAGCTCCAAGAGAAATGTGCATCGTCCAGAGAAGAATGAAATGGAGTTCTTTATGGCAGAGTCCCATCTGCATTTTACCAGAAACAAACATGTGGGTTTAATTTGGATGGTGGAGGTAACCTTAGCATTCCCAGCATCCAAGCAAAAAGCATTTGCTGCCAGGTCATGCCCCTTTTGCTGAAATTGCTGTGATAAAGGAGCTACTGTGCAGGTATTTCAAGGCATTAGGGAGTTAATGGATCTGTAGGCCTGGAAAATATTTTGCTTATCTTCAGTTTGTGCATAGGTTTTACAGTTTTGCTTAACTTTGTAGAACCTGCCTTGATTTTAACTGTAGGCAAAAAAATACCCTTAATTTTACATTTTAGGGTAGTACATTAGGGTTACATTTTAGGGTAGTAACACTGCAGTGTTTTATTGAAATTACATTACAAGGAAATAATATTGAATACACCTGAATGCATAATTTTATTGTGAATGCATAGTAAAAGTGGATATTAACTGCTTAGTAAAAATACCAGTTTTGGAAGATGATGTATAGCACAGATAAGTATCCTTTATTATTGTACTTCTTGCAATACTAATCACTTCTGTTATTTTTATGACAAGACATGAGTATRATGGCATTTCCTAAAGGCATTTGCATATGAGCTTTGAAAATGTGTTTCTAAGTCCCATGGCTTCAGTAAGTTTGAAGGAGGTGCTGAAGCAGAGCAGTCTGGTTACTGCAAAGTAAATAATAAAAAAAAAAAAAAATCCACTTTCCTTCTTTCCTTCTCCAGCCCCCTGCCCCCCCCCTTTTTTTTTTCTTCCTCAGTTGGTCGGTCTTGTTAAAGCAGACTTCTGGTGAGAGGATTTGAAATATCCTGGGATTTTTTTCAATGCCTGCGTCAGCACTAGTGCAAATACTGCATATTAACTCCATGTAGTTGTGGACCAGGGAAAGAACTGTTTGTTTGTTTGTTTTTAACATGCATTAACACTAGCCGTAGGTGTAGTTAATCAAGAAGATACTGAGCTGTGATGGGCAATTACTCTTCTAGTATGTTACTACTCTAGGGGTTTGTTTCTCAGGATTTAATACTGTTCTCCTTTTTAAGAATTTAGTGGAAATGGAGACAATGACTATAATCAGGATTTCCAGTTTTAATTTTTCTTAAACATAGGAAAATCAGATGGCAAGAACATCAAATCCATAAGCTGAAAGTCTCTGTCCAGGGAAAGCTTATCTGGTCCCAGTGGGAAAGCAAGCAGCTAGAAGGTGGAGGCACAGGGGTTACCCCGTAGCAAGTGCCGTGCGCAGTGTTCATCCTGCCTTGAGCAGAGCAGKGGCACAGAGAACTGCGGATGCGCGTGCGACCCTGCAGTTTGCAGGGACAGGGAARCGGTGTGTGAGCTTGACCTTTCGTGGCAGTCACTGCTTTGGGAGACAGCTCACCATACTACTGCAGCTGTCTATCAACTGCTGGCAGAGGATTTCTTAGCACAGAAGGGGTAGATAGGAACAGAGYCTGTTATTACGCCGTCGTGTTGCGCTGCTGGCTTGTGTTGGTGTGCGCTGCCTCCAGGATGCCAAGAGGTCTGCTAGGATCGTTTTGGAGGAATGATGCAATACAAAAAGGAGCAGTGTTTCATAGGAGTTATCTAAGGGGAAAATCCCCATCYGCTTTCATCTCTGAATCCTCACCAGAAGAAAGCCGCCGGTTCACCTGGCTCCACACCCACATAGCTAATGTAAGGGCAGCTGCAGCTTCCCGCAGCTCTAGGATCAAGGTGTCRTCCTTCCAGTTTTCAGATGTTCCTCTAAATAGCAGCAGAACTGAAATGTCATGGCGTGTGTTGCAGTCTCAAGCTGCTATGTGATTTTATTATGGTTTAATTAGCAGGCAAAATGCTATTAAGGGAACGTGTAGGTTTAACAGGAGTGTGCAACGGGAGCCAGCAGAAACGTTCAAGTTCAAGTCCAAAAATGCGTCCCATGAATGTGAGGGGTTTTGCTAAAAAGATCTTTTACTAGACCAGTGGAACAGTCCCTTGCTCTTTCATATTACAGGCTAAGTTCTTGGAGGGCTCATTATAAAACACTTTGAAAACACTTTCAAATCAAATCATGAATTGTTGAATGCAAGCTTTGCACATTGTTTAGTTTAAGATAATAATAAAAAAAACTTAAGCTATTTCCCACCYTTACAGTCCTAGTTATTGACTCATAGTTGTGGTTCAATAGCGGCGTTTCATGACTGTACCAGGAGGTCACCTTGTAATAATTGATAAGTGCCCAGACTATCATTTTTCAAACACAGTACTGCATTCAGTATTCAGTTAACACTAATTAAATAAGGAAAAATAAACAAACATGAAAATGTGGGGAAGCAGAAGGAGAAAGTAAGAGCAAAGTATATCAAAGATGTAACCCCATAGCATGTCACTAATAGCAAAAACATTGCTCAGTAGATTTAACCAAAAGGCCAGTTTTGTGGTAACTTAAACAGGGYTTATTTTAGAGCAAAAATGAGCTCAAAGTCTGGAGGTATTTTCAATAGATGCTTTGCTGACATGGATTCCTCAGGAAGCAGCCCCAAGGTTGAAGGACCTGACAGCTCTGCTATATTCACTGAAGAAGCATGAGTATGTGTACTTTTTTCTGTTAATTTCTTAATTTCTTTTTCCAGATAAGTTTATATATAATGATAATTAGTGTAGAGAGTAGGTTACTACCAACTGCTTGAAACATYAGTACCATTCTGTCATAGGAGTAGCTAAAAAGTAGAAAGACTGTTTAAAAAGCAGATAAGTTCCTTGTCTCACTTCACAARTAGTTTTAGATTCTTTTAAGAAATCTTCTACCTCTTCTAGCTTAGACAAGTAGTTATTCTGATATTTGACTATTTTGTTTTAATTTTTAATTTTCTGCTTTTTAGCCAGAAGACAAAGACTCAGAAAACCATACTGATGAATCACTTTCAGGTAACACATCAGCTTTACTGTTGTGCATATTTTATTCCTAGATTTTCTTTGAAAGTGCTTTATTAGAACTGCTCTTYGCCGTTGCCCAGAACTGTGAGGATAATCAGTGCTTGTGAAGCCTGTTTCATTTCCAACATGTGGTCCCTATCTGCTCACCAGGGCTATTTAGATCTTTCCCTTTGTTCTGGAGGGTGTCATGCTGATAATGCACATCATACAAAATACATGTAGACAGTCCCAATAAATCCAGTGTATCCACTTTGAAAACAAAATCTATAAACATGTATCTGTAGGAAGCAGAGGCTGCTGTCTGGTCTTACGCCATATGGTACCAGCTTGGCAGGACTGATGCCCACCCCATTTAATCCAACAGTGAATAACTGAGAATTTTCTTTTAATGAAGAGGCTTGTCCTATCGTGTAGCATTAGGACCATGCAGTTAGGTGGGTTGGTCATAATTTTGCTCACCAGTATTTAACACAGTGCACCTTAGAATGCTTTTATAATACCTTAGGGCACCTTTATAATGCTTTTGATAGTCTGCACATGGTATAGGACAAGAAGCAGGTTGGTTTAGTTTTGTTTACCTGTAATTGTGGCCTATGTTCTCTTTMGCACTCTTCCCAGCTTTTATTGGAGGATAAAACTTAATTTGCTTTGCAAAGGTGCCAAAGTTAAGATGAAATTCAGATAGAGTGCTCTCCTACCCTTTGAGCTCATCCAGAACTTTGATTGGATTAGACTCCTTTTGCCTTGTTTGTAGAACTAAATTTTTGTATGGCTAAAGCAAGCAAGGGTTTTCTCACTTCAACAAGAGCCCAGGGAGCACAAGAAGAGCAGAAGAGCTAATGCACCTTTCTCTCTAGAACAGCAGCAAGGCCTGTGGATACCTGAGAGCAGAGGTGTCACCAGAGCATGTCTGCCCTTTAATAGGGGGAATCTGAGCATTCGTGTGAAGTTCTGTGTTGGCAGCAGTGTTGTAGCTGCAAGTCTTGTTGAAAAGTTCGGAAGTTGTGTTCAGCCTGCTAAAAAAGCAAGCTCAAGAGCAACATTACAAAAATAGTAATTTCTGTTTTTTCCTTAGATATTAAACCCAGAATGCACGCAAAGGCAGCATCCAGCTGAGTTGCTTTGATAAGGACCAGTACTCAGAGTAAACACGTGCAGTAGCTGAAGGTCTTTTAGGAAGTTTCACACGATCTGCCAGTAACCTTAACAGACACCATTATCCRTAGGAGAGGGTGGCATTGACTGACCTAGCCTTCTTCAGAGCTGGAGTTCAAGTCTTTCACATCACTGCTGATCCAGGCCTTGTATAAACAGTGACAGTCTAGCACTGCTTCCTGTTGTTTTTCAATCAGTATTATGATTCATACAGTTTTGTTCTTGCAATAGTCCCCTTTTCAAGCACATTCATCCCAAGCAGGGGCAGTTGCTTGGCTGGGCAATGTGGTAGCAGGGTCCAAGTCGTATAAAGTGCCCCTAGACCATGTCCATTATCTCCTGTTCTTTGAACAGGTCCCAAATGCCACCTCCCTTCATAAGGGGGCTAAGTAAAGTCATGGCTGCAGCCAAAATGTTGAAACAGAACCCTAGGCTATTGCAGTGTTGAAGGCCTTAGTTTTTAATGAGAAGCACAGCCAGAACTGGTTTCTACAGAGTTTTAAGATTATTGATATGTAAGTTTGATAGAACTGCACTGTTAAAAGCCACTAGTAAGATATTGACTGTTGTGTGTGGGAGACTTGCAAATGGTAAGTTCTGATATCTGATGCTGGTTTTAAACCACATCACCACCTGCTTCCAGCAATGTGGGATTCTTATTTTCCTCTGATATGGAGGAGCGTGCATTTTGTTTCTTTCCGTAGCATGCATTTAATGTAGCCTYCTCAGATGGATCAGGCACAACTTGTGTTGTTCACTTATGCTTCATTGGCATTTAAATGACTAGATGTTAACTGTGTTTGCAGCTGTCAACATAGAAACTCCTACTGCAAATATATATTTATATTATATATATGTATTCGGAAAGGCAGCAGCTCAGGCGTGTGGAGCCTATGTCTCTATTCTAACACATCTGTAAAAGATTTTAGTACAAGTCCTTTGCACATAATATTGTGGGTAGCATAACTGGGAACTATAGCAGTTTCCAGGAAAAACAAGTAATTTCCATAAACAAAAAAGGGCATATCCCAGGTCACGCCATGGTATGAGTTAGGAGGKTTTTTTTTTAATGGTAAATAATGTATTTTCAAAATTATTGTCCTTTTGGTTATAACACTTGGACTCAGCCAAGAGAAATCTTTGAAATTTAATTTCATGAGTAAATCACTTTGTAACATTAAAATACTAGTATTAAGACTGTTTCAGAAATGTTTCTCAGAAACATGATATTCCTCAGCCCTTGTGCGTTATAACTTTCTGTTCACGATGAAACCAGTGACACCGTTCCTAACTTCTGCCCATGTAATGGTTCTACCTGCAGATCTCAAGAAAGCCTGCAAGGAAAATGGCACCTGCTCCTTGTGCTTATTTCGTGCCCCGACCATCAGTGACATGCTCAATGATGAGGACTTGTTGTACACCGTGAGACTCAAGCTGGATCCCTGCCACCCAACAGTGAAAAACTGGAGGAATTTAGCAAGCAAATGGGGGATGACCTACGATGAGTTGTGTTTCCTTGAGCAGAAGCCCCAGAGTCCTACCTTGGAGTTCTTGCTACGCAACAGCGACAGGACTGTGGAGCAGCTGATTGAGCTCTGTAAATTTTATAAGAGGGTTGATGTTGTGAAAGTGCTACTGAAATGGGTGGAGGAAGAATGGCCCAAAAGAGGCAACAGAACCTACCAGAATGACTTCTAGGTCAAAGAAATTGTTAGTCTYTGTTGGTTAGAAGTTGGGACTAGCTGCTGTTAGCAGATGGGGAAACGTCCCATTGCCAAAGAAAAGAACCCATAACAACAGTTCGTATACTTGCTGTACTGTGTACACATGCATATATGCTCTCTGCCCTCAGGGTTGCAAAGAAAACCGCTCCAAAGCAAGCCGAGTAGGGCAGGTTGTGTTCTTAAGTCTACAAACACCTTCGGTTTCTTTGCTGCTCTTTGTAGGCTTCCTAAGCAGAAGAAGAAGGGAAAAGCCTGACCTCTGCTTCTGCCATAGGAGTTGTGAACCAAGTCAKTTGTGCCTTGCTGCAGTGAGGAAAGCCATGCTGAGAAGGCAGGTCCCTTGGCTTTGCTGGCAGCCTTTCCACGGGTGTTTTTTTATGTGTTCTACCTACTACCGGATGAGGCAGGGTTGATTTGTTTGTTTTTCTTTTGTTTTGTTTGTGATTTTTGCTTTTATTTCTTTAAGCAAAGGAGTTGTATAGTTCAACATCATTAGTACATATATTTGGTCCAGAAGAAATCATCCAGTTCAGAGCAGCTTTCCAAGTGACAACCATGAGGGACAAAAAAAAAAAATGCTTTAGACTTAAAATGAGTTTCCAAAATTTGGAAGAAAATGCTCATTCAGGGCATTGTTACCTATTTATCTCAAATGCCTCTCACTTTGCAGTGGGAGCAACAGCTAATGCTTCACCCAAAGTATATCCTTAGTGCTGACTGTACCTGTTCTGTTTGTCAGCTGTGGTTCTCTTTGAGAGAACACAGCGTGGTGCTGAGAGCTGACCTGCTTTCAGTCTCACCTGGAGTAGTTCTACACGTGCAGAGAACTAACACAAGTTAATGTATTGATTAAAGTCACTGTAATGAGAATTCACCTGCAGCCCTGGTGGGTTGTTCTAAAAGCACTTAATGGTAATACAGATGGGTGTTTCCAAAGGGTGATGGTACTCTGGTCCTCTGAATTGTGCTGTTTACATGTAAAATATTTTTAGAAATTGGTCTTTTGACTTCTAATGCTTAAAAAAAACTCTTGAAAAAATCAGTGATACAGTGAGCGGTATAGGGTACTTATTGCTATAATGCCATAAGAATGAGAAATGTTTTCAACTAAAAATACTTTTAGTTGTTACCCTTCCTAAAGCATCTTGGATGCTGTGAATGTGTACATAGGTGTATATACCAAAGCCGTGCACCGCGTGCTGGGATCCAGGCGGGGTGCCCACGTAGAAATGTCAAATTAAGAATTAGTAGCAAAGCTAATGGAGGTCAGAGTTGGGTTGTATACTGAGTTCCTTACAGTAAGCAAATGAGACTAGTAATACTGTGCTAGAAATGTTGTGGGGAATAGTTACAGAGCAGCTAGAAGTAAAAGCTAACRTTTTCAATGTCAGGCATGAGTTCTGGGATTGATGTAAATTAGCCTCACAGCAGCTGGGACAAGATGTTGAAGATCTTGTTTCAAGG